GTAGATTTCTCTCAGCTTTTGCCTCCATGTGTTTGTGGGTGCTCTAACATTTGAGGTCTAACGTGTTATGTGCATGTTGAGATGAGAGGAATGATCAAGTATGCGGCCCCTGAACTGTCCGAAATGTTTACAACTAATACAAGGATTGATTTGACTTTGCATGTCCTGCCTGTTTTGAAGTCATTGTGCCCTTTGTTAGTGTTTGGTGTTTAACAGTATGGCAGCAAGTGTCCGTGAGCTAATCTTGATGGTACCGATAAGCAATATTGAGAGATGGCAATATTTGCTTGCTATAGATAAGTAGTGTGATCTTATTCCCTGGCATTAAATGTCATGATGTATCTTCTTTTACATGCCTCACATGTACGCTGGTATTCCTCGTATCCATTCTTGGATTACTTCTCACCCATTTCACTGTGCGTCCCCCTCTATCCCTCACACACACACACACCTCCTGTCATCAGTGTCTGTTCTCCGATAACGAGTATTGTTTCTGTTTATGTGAGCACATTACTTTTTTTGATTATGATTTCAACGAAAATGTGGTTTGTCTGTAGTGGACTGTTGCCGTCGTGTTTGCAAATAACATTGGTCATGCTGGAATGATACAAATATCCGTGTGTGTGTGTGTGTGTGTGTGTGAGGGTGTGTGTGTGCCTTTGCGTCTGTGCACCTGAGTTTGCAGCCATAATGCCATAATGAAGTGTCCATAAACTAAACAACATTTTGGTGTTTTGTGTGGTTGGATTGTAATAACTCTCTCTGCTCCTTGGATATTCTCCCATCTCTATCCATCTCCTCATCCTCCCCCATCGCCTCCTCATTTCTGTCCCGACACCATCCCTCCATTTGTCGATCTCTGTGCCTTCGCTTCTTCTGCGACTCTTCTTCCACCAACCCTCACTGTCTCTCTGCCTTGATCCCGCCTCTTTTTCTGTTGCTTTTCCTTTTTTGTATTTCCTCGTTTTTCCCTTCTTCTTTACGTCCCGCCTCACCACCGCCTTGTTCTGCGGCCTGCCCACTTTGTGTCTGTGGCGCTCCCTCCTTCCCTCCTTCCCCTCCTTTCCTCCCGTCTTTCCCCTCTTTCCTTCCTCCTCCTTTCCTTTTCCCTCCTCCAGGTGTCTGTCTGTCAGGAGATGATCACCGAGTTCCGAAACGCCGTCTCCTGTAAGAAGAGTTCCCGTATGCGGCGCCGTCGGCCCCTCAGCAGCTCGGCGGCCCTGCGTAACCCCGCCCGCATCGCGCTGGGCGCCCCCCGCCCGCTGCGCCTGGTGCGGGAGATGCGCCTCAGCAACGGGAAGCTGTACAGCGGAGGCCGGGCCTCTGACGGGGCGGAGCTGGAGGTTCGGGACCCCTTGATCTGGGGCCCCGGTCCCCAGCGGATCCTCGATGATCCCCTGGGAGCCAACACCACCCCTCCTCCTCCCTCCACCGGCCCCCACCCCGGTGATGCTGCCCCGCCCGCAGCTGCACCCACGTGCGGATCTGCCAGGAGTGCCGGAGGATCCAGAGCCTGAGATCGGGCACCTTAGGGTCCACCTCCACCAGAATACCCCCGTCATCGGCCCCCCTGCCCAGGCTACCCCCACCCCCGCCCCCATCCTCAACCAACACAGACAGTGAGGGCGCAGGGGGGCCTAGCCCGCGGCGGCTACACCACGGCACCCCGCCCCACACCTCCAGACCCCTCCCTCCTCCACAGAACAGCAACACCACAGACCTGCTGGGCGACCAGGACTGAGAGCAGAGGGGCGTGGGGGGGAGGGGGGGGGGAGAAACAGCTGCTGAGAGAAACACTGCTTGTTTCCACCTGAGAAATGTATCGGAGGACAAAAAGAGAAGGGGGATGGAGGGAGAAAAAAGATGAACTGAGCCAATAGAAAATGAGACGACCTTTATAAGGAGAGGGAACACGTGACCTGAATACTGTGAGGCGGTCGGTTCAGCTTCTGTCATAAACTCCCATTAACAGTTCAGTTTGGACACATCTGAGCGGAAACACACATGACCAGCTGATGGTTTCCATTGGCTTCCTTGTTCTCTCCTTCCTCCCCCTCTCACTTCACCTTCAGATTTGAGGGCGCTGGCTTTCTTCCACAGACTCTAAATACCCCCTCTATTAAAATGAAGCCTTGTTGGAGGACATACTGTATCCGTATGTGATTTAAAACCGCAACTAAAAGACTTCCAGAGAATTATTTCCTGTTGTTCTTTTCTTTTGTTGTCTCTCTCGTTTTGTTACCATTGTTTCTAAGTGGGAATTACAGAGTTAAGTACAGACTACATGTGACAATACGGTGGATTATGACAAAGTAAGAAACTCGACTGGGGGCTTATTGTGATCGAGAGTTTTGTGTCCCTCCCTGTGACCCGTAGCTGGAAGCTGGATTGAAAAGACAAAATGCAAACAGTAGCAGAGGGAAACTGTCTGCCTTTCTTTACACTATGTGTGTGGTGTTTGTAAAAAAAAATGTGTTTAAATGTGTCTTTAAATACTTTAAAGTGAGGAGAACCATGTTCCCTGCAACAGCGCCCTTCTACAAATGTTAGATAATCGGACGGAGAGACAGAGCAAGAGGCTTTGAAATGTGAAATGAATGTCCCTCGTTGTCCCGGGTAACACTTGCCAAGCCTTTACTCCTTTCTCACCTCTGCTCACACGGCGTAGAGGAGATAGAGAGGCACCAGGGAGGAACGATAGGGGAACAGAGAGAGATGAGATAGGAAACAGGCAGAGAGGGAAAAGGACACCACTGAATTTGAATGAGAAATCCTGAGCTGAACTACTTCCATTATTAGATCTGTCCTGATCTGTTAATTCTGGGCATCTTTTAAGGCGCTTGTTAACGCGCCAGCGGGCTCCAGCTACAGCTCCTTCTCCTCTCGGGTTAGCAACTTGGCTCCTGCCAGACTGATAGACTCAACACAGCCTCGTCAATACTGTTTCTAGCTTTTGATCGCCTAATTACTCCCCTCGGTGGCTGGGGACTCGTTCGGGAGGGGGTTGAACACAGAGAAACATGCTGATAAATAGATTTAGAATAAATACATGTTTTTTTCTCACTGCGCCTGGGAAGAGAAGCTCGTCTAATGACGCTGTTAATGTTACAGCCCTACTGCTCAGCTAAATCCAAACACTACACTTTATTAGCCACGGTGCTTAAAGGGAATTCACTGGTGGAATTGCAGATTTTAGGCTTTTCATTTCCACTTCTGCACACTTTTGATTACTGGTGATCATTAAGAGCGTACTTTACATTGTTACCAGATTCTCAATCCCCGAAGATGCCACTGTTTTCACAGCATGTGGTATAATTACATAGAGCATTCAAGAAAAAGGCTGGTTTGAAACTATAATTCTCCTATTGTCGACAAATCCAGCACAAAGACCAAAACCACCAATGAATTGATAAAATGATCAGACTTATAATTATCCAGAGCATGTCATCTTTTATAACTCTATGCAATGGATTTCTCAAAGGAGTCACACCGTTGCAAAGCTTTGAGCCACGTTTTCTCAAGACTATTTCTCTTTTCTAAGGAAACTATGTAATGGTGCCCATTTTAAGAGAAGTTAGAAAGTAATTAGGATGTGTTTGTTGTACAAAATACAAACACTGAAAGGGATGAGACCACCAGGGCCATCACCCGATATTAATCCGAAAGGAATAAAATGAATGCTTACATAAAAAGTAAGTAGGTAAGTAAGGCAAGGCAAGGCAAGGCAAGTTTATTTATATAGCACCTTTCAACACAAGGCAATTCAAAGTGCTTTACAAAAATGGAAGACATTATGAAAATGGCATTTAAAATCAGTCATTAAAAAGAAAAGATAATAAAATAAACATTAAAAGAAAAAATACATGGATAAAAGTTAAAAGTTACAGTGCAGTTTAAGATGTGAATAGTTCAATTAAAAGCAGCGGCAAAAAGAAAGACCGTAAGTAAGTAAGTAAAACTTTATTTATATAGCACCCTTCTCAACACGGATGTACAAAGTGCTTTACAGTACAGTACACAGGACACAATTCACAGTACAACTATAAAATGTAGAATAAAACAGCAGCAGGTAATACATAGGATAACACATACGATAACACACCAATAAAAGACAGCTACTAACTCACCTCCTCCGACGACCCAAAGGCCTGTCGGAAAAGGTGGGTCTTTAACTGCCCCTTAAAAATCTCTACTGAGGCAGAGGCTCTTAGTGTCTGGGGGAGTTTGTTCCAAAACCTTGGGGCCACCACCTCAAAGGCACGGTCCCCCTTAGTTTTTAGCCTGGTTCGGGGCACCCTTAGGAGGCTTTGCTCAGAGGACCTCAGGGCCCGGGTTGTGCTGTGAGGGTGGATCAGGTCATTGATGTAGGCTGGGGCTTGGCCATGGACAGCTCTATAGTAGTGTCCTTATAAAGCAAGATGATCAGATTGAGGTCTAAACTGTAATAATGAGTTGTGTTTTCTGCAGCGTTATTTCCCTTCAGTTATCAGTGTGTTCTCTGTGGTTCAACACCTCTGTGTGAGTGTCCCTTCAGAAGTACATGTCCTGATTTATTTTGCACAATAGCCCATTATCCCATAGTATATATATATATATATTTTTGATATGACATGATTATCAAGTGCTGTATTTTCTGCACCGCAGGTCATTGACTCATCAGTGTCTCAGTGTTTATTGAATCAGTTATCTAATCAGCTCCCAAAATACTCGCTGTAAAGTGATTCACTTAACTAAGGCGTTTTGACACACTCTTTTCGATATAGTAAGTAACTATTGCTCCAAAAAATAAACATATGAGGGTAATCTGAGGAAACGTATCCCCGTCATCCTGGCTGTGTTTTCTTAGTGTTTGTCTGTTATGGTTTGATTTCCTGGCAGCAGATTGTATGAATGTAATGCTTTTCAACAGCTGATTCTCAATTGAACTTGTTTTGATTTCTTTTCTGGCCCCGTGTTTCCCCACTTGGAAAACATCTTGACACCCATGAGTTTCCTCTAAAACACATGCATTTACAAACTGCTTCACATTTAACCGAGGGGTGACATGCTTTCAATTCAGATCCGACCAAAAAGCAGGACTACGATCCCTCACTTCCCACCCATCCATATTCAGCAGTCATACAATGTAAAATAGAAACCCACCAGTTCAGCCCTTCACAATTCCCCCTGGGTTATACAAAAAAAATACATGGCGTTGTTGTCTGGGCAAACGTTGCATTGCCGTATGAAATTATGCATTTCGCAGGGAAACAGATTTGTCGACAGTGTTGTGCTCCAGATAATGAATGATAACATTGTCTGCACACATTATGCTGTTTCTACGAATGATTTCTGTCAGCAGACGCCGGCCTGGATTCAGTTCCTCTCTGTTTACTTCTCCCTTTGTGTTCTGAATGCTGACAAGGCAACCGGAGCCAACCCCTTTCCACACACACACACACACACGCACACACACACACACACACCACACACGCACGCGCGCACACACACACACACACACACACACACACACACACACACACACACACACCACACACACACACACACACACACACACACACACACACACACACACACACACACACACCACACCTTCATTTCCAATTCCCTTGTTGTCCAAAGGTTGTAAACCCACTGTTGTTTTCAATTTTGTCTCTTTCCTGTGTTCACTTTGGTTTGTTGTGGTACGAATTCACAAACTTGATGTGTGACAGCTGCGCATAGACAACGAATAAGGGTCCATCCACGGCTTCAAAACATCAGCTGGAAGCGTTTACTAGAAGCAAGATGAAGGTTAAAAAGAATATTGTTTGTTTGTATAACTTCTAGTATGAAGGTAAGGGAGGGTCACAAAACAAATCAGACGGGGTGTCTGAGCAGTCACTCCACAAAACAAAGCTTTTTGGTTTACTTTTATGTTCTTTTCTTTGGTATTTTTTCATATTTCTATACTAGTGCTAAATGGATTATTAAAACTGATGATGAATATTATGATGAAATTGTTGTTATTATTCCTATTAAAGAGCAAGAGGTTCTATAGTGTGATTGTGGGTGAAGGGCGGGGGGGGGGGGGGGGTGGGAGGTGTTGGGACGGAGGTGCAATGGTGCTCTGCAGAGAGATCGCCCTGTTGTTCAAAACCTATAGACACACAAACTTCTTTTGGAATAAAAAAATATTCAAACAGTCTCATAGTGACGTTTGTGTTTTCCTTTCTGAGCGGGAAGGTCTGCTGCGTCTTTACTCATCATGTTTGGGTCATGATTCACTGATATACTGAAGAAGTCAGTAAAAGCATTGTAGCACATGTTGAACAACAGTGATGTTATAGTCTGTGTTGGTGTGTGTTTGTTGGTCTACCAAGGACCATAGAAGAAGAAGAAGAACTTTGGTATTTTTCAACCTAGTCTAAACATTTGTTTTTCTAAGTGAGTAATACTGACAACAATTTGGGAAATTGGTCAAGTATTGAGCGATGCCTTGCAGAGGGCAGCCACTAAACGGCAATAGAGGTTTGTCAATATACGTCCACTTAAAGTGCTTGTTTTTACCACTGACAACACTATGGCAAGGATCCTACAGAGAAATAAAACATTTTCTTTACCTTTCACTTCATCCACAGCCTGTTTGTTATTGTGTAACACCCTGCGATGCATCCACATTGTTGAAGTCAGCTAAATATTCCGCCATGACATTGAAAAAGATAACAAAAACTCAGACGACAACAAGGCGTTCCCCTCTTAAACTCTTACTCACGTTTCCACTGTCGTCACCTGGCAACAAGTCACACATGCAGATAAACAAACTGAAAAATTGAAGGTTAAAGAAAAAACATTAGATATTTCTGTTGATGGCAAAAGCAAACTCTTCTAGTGAACGTGTGTTAACCAATTGTCCCTTTAATTTAAAAAATGGTTCCCCCCATTAGTCACTAAGACACTAAAACATTGGAGAGTATCGTTCTAGAGGGAGTTTCTTATTAGTGACATCACTACGTAACACTCGCTCATCTATTGGCTTGCGCTCCAACACATTGTACGTCAGTGACCATCAACTGGCGACCCGTGGGCCAAATCTGGCACGTGCTGTGGCGCTGGCGGAGTGGTTAGTTTTTGTTTTACAACGTCTCGTGAGTAATGTGCAGTACCGGAGCCCAACAGAGAGGCAGCAGCTGCGGGACAGTAGCCTGCGTGCTGCGTAGCCTTCCCTGCCTTGAAGAAGAAGTGATCCTTTGTTAGCGTCTGCTTTATGCGCTCCGCAGTAGCCCCCGCTACTCCGGCGACTTGACAGTACATGAGCGTGCTCCACTAGCCCGCCCCCCCGGTCAACAACTTCAAAATTCAGGGCTACATATAAAAATCGCTGGCCCCCGAAAGTGTCTCTAGGAATAACTTGGGCCCTTGGAAAAATGTAGTTGGTGATCCCTGTTGTACCGTGATAAACTGAGGGGCGGGACATCTCTAGGCAGTTGACCAATCAGAGCAGAGCCGGCCGGCTAACCAATCAAAGCAGACTGGGCTCTGGTTTCAGACAGAGGGTGAAAAGAGGTGCTGCAGCACAGGCAGTATGAGAAAAATAAAGAGCTTTTTGAACATTAAAGCATGGAGACATGTCCCAGTGGAGACACTAAATACAAACATTAACTCTAAAAGTGAGCATAAAAAGGCCTCTTTAAGTAGAAGTACAGCAAAAACGACTTAAAAGTAACAAAAGTAAAAGTGCTCATTCTGCAAAAAGAGCTCCCACTTCCTTTAAATGGTGTTTGTTTCACATACATTTTCTATCATGAAAGAACTCTTTAGTAATCAAGAACACATTTGGTAAGGTCTGTCAAGGTGCTGACCTTTATTAAGCAAGAGACACTTACAACAACAAGTTCTGCTTTAAAGCAAAGTAGAGAACATTTACAGAAATGTTGTTTCTGTACTTCTGCTCCAAAGCATCATTTCATAAACCGGCAACGTAACTTACAGTAATTATCTCAAAAGCATGAACACATTTTAGACACTTAATTTAAACAGAAAACAGATGTCACTGCACAACAAAGTAAACAATGTAATATGAATCCTTATGTTAGTATATTTCACATCCAAAAAACTAATTTTGTTCTCATGTGTTTCGACAGCACAGATGGTTGTTGCAATCAAATGTCTTAAGCACTGAATTTCAACATGACAAATTGAAAACAACAAGGCAAATCAGAAATACTAAATGAGCCTTTTATAATGTGTTACAAAGCAAACATCTGATGTGTGTTTTCTCCCATTATCTCATGACAGCTCAGAGTAACACAATTGCAGGTCCTTATTAAACAAAATAAATTATTAGTTTGAAGTTTTATCTTTTTTGTTTTGTGTAAGCTTAGTTTGTACTTTATCAACACCATTTGACAGTTTTGACTGCTGAATTATGCCTTCATTTAAAATTAAATATTGCACCACAAACTAAGACAAAAAGAAAATGAGGATACGCGCCGTCTGGTGTTTCTACACATGCGCAGTTACTGATCCACACTGCACGTTACATTGCCAGTCATTTAGCTGTTTTTTAAATTATTTAATGACACATTACACTGATGTTGTTTAGGGGGAATCTCCTAACACATAACAATGGTTTGTTAATCCTTTATTTTTCTCGACAAACGCCACAAATCAAACTAGACTCAGTGTGGAGTGAAGTCTGCATGCGCAGTCGACCCGTCCACACGGCGGCGTGCGTTGAAGCTTCAACGCAGCTTCCCATTCATTTTGAATGGGGTAACGTCACGCTTTGCCGAACTGCATTTTGGTTCCGTCGCTTCGCTTTGCCTCCGTTGCTCGCTTCAAAAGTTGAGAAAAGTTCAACTTTTCAAGCTTCGACGGAAGCGTCAGCCAATGAAATCATATGCCAGTACAAGCTCTAGCCAATCAAACCGCGTGCTTGTGTGTCCGGGGCAGGAGATGAATGTGATTGGTTGTTGGTCGAGCTTCAGACACGCCCACCGGCAAGCTTCAACGCATGCTGCGGCCCGTCCACACGGCGGCGTGCGTTGAAGCTTCAACGCTTCTTCCCATTCACTTTGAATGGGGTGACGTCAGGCTTTGCCGAACTGCATTGTGGTTCCGTCGCTTCGCTTTGCTCGCGCTGCTCGCTTCAAAAGTTGAGAAAAGTTCAACTTTTGAAGCTGCGACGGAAGCGTCAGCCAATCAAATCATATGCCAGTACAAGCTCTAGCCAAGCAAACCGCGTGTTTATGTGTCAGGGGCGGGTCGAGTTTCAGACACGCCCACCGGCAAGCTTCAACGCACGCCGCCGTGTGGACGCTAAAGATTCCACCGGGTCCATCTGCGTCACGTTACGGCCGCCTTACGGCCGCGTTACGGCTGCGCCGCGGCGTTCGCAAAGATCGCGGCCACTCTAGTCAATGGGTGCTATTCCACCAGACACGCCGCGTTACAGCTCAGAAGCGTCCCAGAAGCGTCCCAGAAGCGTCTCGGCTCTGGGCTCCGCTCAAAATAGGATTCAAGTCTATTTTTCGACGCGACGCGAGGCGTTGCAGAGGCGCCGGGCAGGAAGTGGACCGGTCAGAGCATCCGGCCCATCCCCAAAATAAACTAATTTTGCAGACCCTATCCCTCCGTAGTCTTTCAAGTAGGAGGAGAAATGCCAGCGTTCTCCTCCGGTTTACAGGCACTGTGTAAATTATATATATAATAATTATGATGATGAATGCATTTTTTTACCACTAAAATACAGCAACACATCTTTGATTCATGTCATTTGTAACTGGAATATTACAATTATTATTAACTTTGTCTGTACAAAGTAGCCTGTCCAGGAAATATGCCCAAATCAACAAAAACTGCGAGCCGGCAGGCAAGACGCTCCGCTTCTGAAATGCTTCTGAAATGCTTCTGAAACGTGACGCCGGAGGAGGCCGGACCAAAACCGCGGCGCAGCCGTGACGCAACGCAGACGGACCCGGTGGAATCGAGAGGCGCTTGCTAAGCGTCCCGTCCGGTGAATCACGTAACCTGCTCACCTGTTTCCACTTTACCTGATCAGCCCTGCAGGACCAGCCTCTCTCACAGTAAAATGCTAGTTAATGTTGTTAAATGCTTCATGTCTTTGCTACCCCTGAAGTTTCACTGAAAAAGTCTGCACCTTTTCCTGCCCCACTCCAGTTACCTGAGGATTATCAGTTTGGACATTTATTCCCGTGCCTGTAAACTTTAGCATTTTTTTAATTAATCATGAAACTGTTGCCTGCTGCCTCTTCTCCATGACAGCAACAGACTGGAGAGAGCAGGTAGGCCATCTCTGTTCCTATGTTTACATTTTGAACATTTAGAAATGCACCTCTTGAACTTATTACTCAGTGTTTTAGTGCATTTGTGTTTCAACCTAATGTATAAATGTATTGGTCTATTCTCAGTGAATTATTATCTGGTCGCCTTATATCTTGGCTTGAAGTCTTTGCACAGTAGGGCTACCTTGTTTTTGAAAGGTTATTAGAATCCCACCTATGCAACATATCACATCAGTAAACACTAGTTTAACATTTCTTAATTCAGTGATATGTTTGCAGCTGTATAGCAACCTTGAGAAGATTAATGATGACATTTTTCATGTTTAAAAAAAGAAAGAAAGAAATAAGTGGCACTTGGGGAATGAACTTTGGCATTGTTTAGTTTGAGTCATACAGTATATATACACAGTATTTTGAGTACTCACACACAGAAATGCAGCTGTAAAATCTCCCTTATTTGTATTAATCCACAGCTGCAAATATTTCACCAACCAATGCAGCGTTAAATCATGTTTGAGTTTGCAAAGAAAAAAAAAACTCTGTTTTTTTGCCTTTTTATGGGATTTGTCCAAAAATATAGAATAACATGGGACTTATACTTTCAGGAGCAGTTGACTTACTGATGTGATAAGTTTGCTGAATGTTTACAACATTTAAGTTATAGATTTCAATTGTAAAAGAAAAAAAGACAGCTATATTATGACTTTGAAACATTTTTCAGTCTTTGTATGTTGATTGACGTCCGTGCATACTTTGAGCCTGACATCAGAGTAGAACACACTCATGTGTTTTTTAAGGACCTTGCTTTTGTTATTTGCATTAACTTCTTTAGACAAAGAACTTAATGCTTTTTTTGGGGTAAATGTTCAAACTAATCCAAAAAGTGATTTGGCAATTTAAAGATGTGGCCTGAAACCATCTCCCAGCTCACCTCCTCTCGTTCAGTCACTTGGCACTGGACCGTATCTGAAAGACCGACAAACAAGGAACTCTAACTCGGAGAAATAACCTTTTTTTTTAAAAAGTTGTTCTTTAGAAATACAAATAATAGGAAGTAGTGGCTTTTGTTCACCAGTGCAGGTGCGTTGCAAAACCTCTTCTCTGTGCAATTAATAGTTATCAGTTGTCACGATATTACTTCCTGATTTTTAAAGGGAATTTTCTTCCACTTCTTTAAGAGCTGATGAATTAAAGTTTGTGCTTTGATAAACCCCTGAATGGCAGCTTCTCCTCAGAGTTTGACTAGACTGAGTACAGCGAGTTTAATATAGTCTGCAGTACGACTGTAGAGGATAAAGATGTTGTTATTCTTTCTTAAATGTTCACTTTAATGCTGATTTATTCTCTATACCTCATGTTGTAAACCTCTTAGTCATGGAGAACGTTTCAACACCTCATGTTGTATACTCCTACATAATATAGACCACACACACACACACACACACACACACACACACACACACACACACACACACACACACACACACACACACACACCTTTTTCTGATGATGAAGAAAGTGGTGGCCAGCATGGTCCCTACTATCAGCACAAATACTCCTGCAGTGATTATTTTTGGTAATATGTGCAGCCCTTCTGAACCCAGCCCTTCTGAACCCAGCCCTTCTGAACCCAGCCCTTCTGCAAAAACAAAACACAAATATGATTAACTTTCAACAATGCAAACTGTTTATTCAGTGATATTTTAAAGGAATAGTTGGAAAAAGGTATAATGTTTGTTAATTGGTGAGCTTTCAAGGTGCCGGCAGGTGGATTTTGTCACCTACATACAGTACTGCCGCTGCCCTAACAATGTGCTGTTGGATGCAATGGGCTCTATTATTCTAATTTTAAGGATGATATTTGTATTTCGTGCCTCGACTGTGACATGCTTTAATCCTGTTGCTTGTAATCTATTATTCTCTAAGATTGGCAAAATGCAAGACATCCTGTTTTTTTTATTTTCGGCATATTCTTTTTCTTTGCTGTGTATATGGACTTACTTCATCTTATGTGTGGTTTACTAAATATGGTGGTAGTATAGATTTGGATCTTGAAAATGTTGTCTTCCTGCTGTAGCCTGTTGTTCCTGTCTTTCCGCCAGCTGTCATGACCCACGAAATGTGTGCTTGCCTTTGCACCATCTGGATGGCCTCTCCCTGTCTGCCTTTTAACCCAAACCCCATTCTGATGATTTATTATCATGTGAGTTTTCTGCTTGTGAGTTGAGGGTCAGAGTTCATATTATAGAGAGTATTACTTACTCACCTTTAACAACAAGTTGGGTGGTTCCTTCAAACACACCGCTCGGAAAAGCTGTAACGATGCATGTGTACGACCCTGCATCTCTCATTTCAACATCTTGAATGATCAAAGATTGTTCTGCAATCTTCACTCTCCCCTTCAGAAAAGTGTCCTGGACACTAACTCCTGAGTTAGCATTAGAAACAATGATGAGGATATCCTCTCCTTCTGGTGTCTTCAGCTCCCACTGAACCTGGGAGATTATGTCATCTTCTGGTCCCGGGATGAATTGGCATCGCAGGGTGACCTCCTGTCCGAGGTATCCCGTCACTTCAGGCTCCATTTTGAGTTGTTGTGCCTCAAGAACTGCAACAAAAATGTATGTGGAAAGATGGCAATTTACTTTTAGATTTCCCCTTTTTACGACATATATGGAATCCTTCCTTTGTAACATCTTTGTCAACACTGTTTTTATTTATTGTACACACAGCATAATCTCGATCAGTGTTGGATCAATATTGGTAGAATTTAATGAAGTACATTTACTCAAGTACTGTACTTGAATACAATTTTGAAGTAGTTGTAGTATTTAAAACGTGTACTTTTACTCCACTACATTTTAGAAGCCCATATTGCACTTTTTACTCCATACATTTTTTTGACAGCTTAAGTTACTTTAAAGGTGGGGTAGGTACGTTTGAGAAACCGGCTCGAGATACCATTTTTGTTATATTCCATGGAATGCTCGTAACATCCCGATAGCAATGAATATCTTAAAGGGGACCTATCATGCAAAATGCACTTTTGTACGTCTTTAAACATGAATATGTGTCCCCGGTGTTCCAGGGAACTCACCAAGTGTCAGAAAACACAACCCTCTATTTTCTATCTCTCTGTTTGGTATTTTGAACAAAAAAAAGTATAAATATGCCTTGTATAGGTATGGTCCTACACTATATTATTCAAATATAGCATGATAGGTCCACTTTAAGTGCTTTGACAAAAAATCCATAAAAAAATTGGTACCACTTTACAATAAGACTACCCGCATAACGGGTTTACGAATAGTTTGTAATACATTTATTAATTAGTTCGTGAACACTTTATAAATCATTAATAAGCTTTTATAAGACATGAGATAAACAGGGCAACTGTGACCGGTTGCTTGCCAAATAGTGAGCCCACATTTATCTGTACTGCTAAGCCTTATATTGGCTACCTAGCTTACTTCGTCTTCTTCATCAGCTAGCATCCTTGGTATCTGTTGTTCACTGAGTTGATTCTCGCTAAGTAGCCAATATAAGGCTTAGTCATCTTGCCAAATAGTGAGCCTGTGCTGATGTATGAAAACTATGTTCGAACTGGTTTATAAATGGTTCTTAATGATTAATAAAGTGTTTACAACCTAATTACAAACCCTTCATGAATCCTTTATAAGGGGAGTCTTATTGTAAAGTGGTACCAAATTCATCTGTGGAAGCCGTAGTACTGTAAAAAGCACGACCAATAATTTTAGCCGGCCCGGCTAAAGTAACTGGATGGCCTACCTGCCTGTCAGCCTTCCATCTGTGCACAAACTTATCTCGTGCCCTCATTGGTCATGTGCGCGTTTGTGTGTGTGTTGGAGGAGGGGCTCTGTAAGGAAGTGGGAGATTTTTTCCGGCTGTGTATTTTCAAATTCTAGCGCACTCGAGCTGGTTCCTCCAAAATTACCTACCCCACCTTTAATAGCTAATACAAAATATAAATCAATAAAAATGATTAATACAATTATACGTTAAATAATCCAAGCAGCAACAGTGTGTATAAAGTAATTAAAACAACCTTTATCAGATCTGACACTTTCATGCATCAATATTCAAAATCCAGTATTTATTATATTATTCTGAAATGGGCCACACTGCATAACAAATACTTTTACTATAAATTATTTAAGTTTATTTAAATGCCAAAATGTTTGTACTTACATTTTTTTCAAAATAAAAGAGTATATATTTTTTTAAACTTTAGGAAAGTAAATGCATTTTATTAAAGATAATAGATGGAAATGTTGTTCTTATTACATAATTCACCTGGCCGTTGAAGTTATTTTAAGATTTAGATTTGACTTAAAAATGACATCATTATGGATTAAACAAAAAAACTGTGTAGTTAAAATGTTCACTTAAAAAAAATAATTCTAACACAAGAGCCATGCTGTTTCCTCGTATGAGACCTTACACTTGTTATGCTTCACCTTCATTATGCTGCTGATGCTTTGTTAGATATTACGTTTTTGCTACTTTTAAACAGATATCCAAAAATTGTGCTATTTTACTGAATGTTGAATTTACCGTATGTTAACTTTTTATCGCCCTTCCTGTTCTTAAATGTAAAAATGAACACCGGTTATAGGATGTCGCATGACTTGCAATTGTTGCTGTGTTTTATTTTGAGACATATTTAGTCTTAGAGATTGTCAAAATCAAAAATATAGTTGTGGTTGTACCTTCAAAAGCTTTAAAACCAGTATTTTTACTCAAATATGTAAAACCGTCTCTTACCTGGGATTGTCATGTGAATGAACCACAGAAGAACGAGGGGGGATCTGCTGGAAGTCATTGTGCACACCAACAAAGTGACAGAAACAAGATGTGTGATCTCAGCTTTGTCTTCTTCTTACTGCAGTTTAATTTAAGAGATGTCCTGGTTCATCCCTCCTGTTGCCGTTAGTAACCTTCAGTAGCACAGTGACCTCATGTGGTGACATTCTGATAATGTGCAGAGGAGAGCTCGTGTGTTTTTAAATTAAAGGACAAGGTGTATGAATGAAAGTGAAATTACAAATCTTTCCTTTCTGTTATTTTTTAAGAATGGACACTCAAGCTCTCGGGTCAGTCAGACCAGGATGTCAAAGTTAAACAAGTTCCTCAACTCTTCCAAAAGAAGTGTTTTATTCCCCAAACATTTACAATGATCTTGCCTTTATCTGGGTGGTGCTTCCTTAAACCCAATTATAGATGGGAGTCCATTTCCTTAAGCTTTATAAAAAGTGTCCTGTGAAATGAGCTCAGGTCAAAGTTAAAGGGAAAAGTTAAAGGTTTTTCACATAAAGATTATCATTCAAATGTAAATGATAATATTTAAATGCATGTTTTATAGAAGTTTTAGGTATGCAGGATCAACATTTTATTTATAGGTTAAACATTGTAATATATAATCTATTCAACCTTTCAAATGTGCAAATGTTCTTTCTTTAAGCTAATAATATGAACAATGGAAATGTCTCTACCGTTACTGTGTTAAAGTTTATTATAACCATTTAACACATGCACCGTATACACACACACACACACACACACACACACACACACACACACACACACACGAAATATAAGTTATATACTATACTGTAGGGGCAGTTACCCCATAATGACAGGGACACATGCAAAATGTTCAATATTATTATGAAAATAGAATATACATGATCAAAATGACTCGTTTTATCAAATAACTCGTTGTGGATAATAAAACCATATAACTATTTTTAAAATGTAGTATCATTTAACCACTTATTACACACACTGTAGTTAGCAGAGCAGTGTGTGGGACATGCTAAAATCACATGCATCCAATGAAAAAATACGGTATAAAATGAAAAACACATTTCAAGAGACTTATCATTGTACTGATATGTGTGTAAATGTTTGGCCATTTATAATAAGACCTCAGAGTTTAATTATTCTGCTACATTTTCATGATGTCTGAGTGATTCTGATGGGGACACCAAAGTTACTTTATAGTGATATTGACTCAGCTAATGACGTTTGGTGGGGTTGCCAGCACTATGCCCCACTGGTGATACATTTTTTGCCGCACACATTGAATAGAAAAATACTCTGAGCATGCGCAGTGTAGTTTTTACAGCACCCATTCATTTTGACAGCAGAGAGAGGGGCTTGCCCCACATCGCTCAATAGGCACACTGTTGACACTAATTAGAAGAACGCAGACTAAAACAGTAATGTACAGACAAATCAGATGACTAAACATGATCTTAAAATATATTTTAAGATATGTTTTTTGCATATTTTTGGAATTATTATTTTCATTACTTTCTGCTGACACTAGGTGGGGCTTTGCACCTGCCCCTAATGACGAGTCGCCACTGCCTGAAACCATCTCCCAGCTCACCTCCTCTTGTTCAATCACTTGGCACTGGACCGTATCTGAAAGACAGACAAACAAGGAACTGTAACTCGGGGAAATAACCTTTTTTTAAAAATCAGTTGTCACGATCTTACTTCCTGATTTTTTAAAAATATTTAAGAGCTGATGAATTAAAGTTTGTGCTTTGATAAACCACTGAATGGCAGCTTCTCCTCAGAGTTTGACTAGACTGAGTACAGCGAGTTTAATATAGTCTGCAGTACGACTGTAGAGGATAAAGATGTTGTTATTCTTTTTTAAATGTTAACTTTAATGCTGAAACTTTATACCTCATGTTGTAAACCTCTTAGTCATGGAGAACGTTTCAACACCTCATGTTGTATACACACACACACACACACACACACACACACACACACACACACACACACACACACACACACACACACACACACACACACACACACACACACACACACACACCACACACACACACACACACACACACACACACACACACACACACACACACACACACACACACACACACACACACACACACACACACACACACACACACACACACACACACACACACAAACACACACACACACACACACACACACACACACACACACACACACACACACACACACACACACACACACCTTTTTCTGATGATGAAGAAAGTGGTGGCCAGCATGGTCCCTACTATCAGCACAAATACTCCTGCAGTGATTATTTTTGCTAATATGGGCAGCCCTTCTGAACCCAGCCCTTCTGCAAAAAGAAACACAAATATGATTAACTTTAATAACTTTCGTCCCATATCTAACCTACCATTTCTCTCAAAAATCCTGGAAAAAACTGTTGCATCCCAGATCCATACCCACTTGTCTGACAATAACCTGTACGAACAATTTCAATCTGGTTTCCGCCCCCATCACAGCACAGAAACAGCACTGGTGAAAATCACTAACGACCTCCTCATGGCAGCTGACTCCGGACTATTAACTATCCTCATCCTCCTTGATCTTAGTGCAGCTTTTGACACCATTTCCCACAGCATCCTCATTGACAGATTGACCTCCATCGGTATCACTGACACACCCCTCCTCTGGTTTAAATCATATCTCTGGCCTCACTCAGTTCATCCAACTCAAAACCTTCAAATCACAGCCACTTCCAGTCACGACCGGTGTTCCCCAGGGCTCTCTCCTGGGGCCTCTTCTTTTTATCATCTATTTACTTCCTCTTGGCAATATCTTCCGTAAACACAACATCCACTTTCATTGCTACGCGGATGACACCCAGCTCTACTTGTCCTCCAAACCAACCACCATCCTCCCTCCATCCTCCCTGTCTGACTGCTTACAGGACATCAAATCCTGGTTTTCCTCTAACTTTCTCAAACTTAACGACAATAAAACAGAGGTTCTCCTCATTGGCACAAAATCCACCCTAACCAAACCTGACAGTTTCTCAATTACAATAGACAACTCTTCAGTCTCCCCCTCCCCTCAGGTTAAGAGTCTGGGTGTCATCCTCGACGGCACACTTTCATTCAAATCTCACATCAGTAATATCACTCGGTCTGCCTATTTCCATCTACGCAACATCAACCGCCTCCGCCCGTCCCTTAACCCTAAGACCACCGCCATTCTTGTTCACACCCTGGTCACTTCCCGCATCGACTACTGCAACTCCCTTCTCTTTGGTCTCCCTCTCAAATCCATCCACAGACTTCAACTGGTTCAGAACTCTGCCGCCCGCATCATCACCAGAACCAGAACCCCCTCCACATCACTCCTGTTCTTCAACAACTTCACTGGCTCCCCGCCAAACCCGTATAGTTTTTAAGATTCTGCTCCTCGCCTTTAAGGCCATCCATAACCTCACTCCTCTGTACCTCTCCGACCTCCTGCACATCAACACACCCATCCGCACACTCAGGTCTTCTGCTTCCCTCAACCTCACTGCACCCCCCTTCCATTTAACCACCATGGGGTCCAGAGCCTTCAGCCGCTCTGCCTCTGGAACTCCCTCCCACCTGACATCCGCAACACTGACTCTCTCCCCATTTTCAAATCACGCCTCAAAACATATCTCTTCACACTCGCATATCCACCCTGATCATTATCCATCACACATCCTCTGTTTTATTTATTTGGTTATTTGAGTGATTGATTTATATACTGCATTGTCTTGTTTATGTTTCTTATGCTGGTGTTATCTATTTTGTATCTTGTTTTTTATGTATTTGTACGGTGACCTTGAGAGCCTTGAAAGGCGCCTATATAAAATAAATGAATTATTATTATTATGATTAACTTTCAACAATGCAAACTGTTTATTTAGTGATATTTTAAAGGAATAGTTTAGAAAAAGGTATAATGTTTGTTAATTGGTGAGCTTTCAAGGTGCCGGCAGGTGGATTTTGTCACCTACATACAGTACTGCCGCTGCCCTAACAATGTGCTGTTGGATGCAATTAAATGGGCTCTATTATTCTAATTTTAAGGATGATATTTGTATTTCGTGCCTCTACTGTGACATGTCCTGTTGCTTGTAATCTATTATTCTCTAAAAATGGCAAAATGCAAGACATCCTGTTTTTTTTATTTTCGGCATATTCTTTTTCTTTACTGTGTATATGGACTTACTTCATCTTATGTGTGGTTTACTAAATATGGTGGTAGTATAGATTTGGATCTTGAAAATGTTGTCTTCCTGCTGTAGCCTGTTGTTCCTGTCTTTTTCCGCCAGCTGTCATGACCCACGCTTACTTTTAAATGTGTGCCTGCCTTTGCACCATCTGGATGGCCTCTCCCTGTCTGCCTTTTAACCCAAACCCCATTCTGATGATTTATTATCATGTGAGCTTTCTGCTTGTGAGTTGAGGGTCAGAGTTCATATTATAGAGAGTATTACTTACTCACCTTTAACAACAAGTTGGGTGGTTCCTTCAAACACACCGCTGGGAAAAGCTGTAACGATGCATGTGTACGACCCTGCATCTCTCATTTCAACATCTTGAATGATCAAAGATTGTTCTGCAATCTTCACTCTGCCCTTCAGAAAAGTGTCCTGGACACTAACTCCTGAGTTAGCATTAGAAACAATGATGAGGATATCCTCTCCTTCTGGTGTCTTCAGCTCCCACTGAACCTGGGAGATTATGTCATCTTCTGGTCCCGGGATGTATTGGCATCGCAGGGTGACCTCCTTTCCGAGGTATCCCGTCACTTCAGGCTCCACTTTGACTTGTTGTGCCTCAAGAACTGCAACAAAAATATTGTGAAATAATGGCAATTTACTTTTTTTAGATTTCCCCTTTTTACGACATATATGGAATCCTTCCTTTGTAACATGTTTTTCAACACCGTTTTTATTTATTGATATGGCTCCCCTGTGTACATACAGCATAATCTCGATCAGTGTTGGATCAATATTGGTAGAATTTAATGAAGTACATTTACTCAAGTACTGTACTTAAATACAATTTTGAAGTAGTTGTAGTATTTTAAACGTGTGCTTTTACTCCACTACATTTATTTGACAGCTTTATTTACTTTATTAGCTAATACAAAATATAAATCAATAAAAAAATGTAATAGGTTAAATTATCCTTCAACAGTGTGTATAAAGTAATTAAAACAACCTTTATCAGATCTGACACTTTCATGCATCAATATTCAAAATCCAGTATTTATTATATTATTCTGAAATGGGCCAGACTGCATAACAAATACTTTTACTATAAATTATTGAAGTTTATTTTAATGCCAAAATGTACGGTGGCCCTGAAGTGCAAAACACTACAGCATTTCAGAAAACACCACAGCATTTCAGAAAACACATTTCAGAAAACACTACAGCATTTCAGAAAACACCACAGCATTTCAGAAAACACATTTCAGAAAACACTACAGCATTTCAGAAAACACATTTCAGAAAACACCACAGCATTTCAGAAAACACATTTCAGAAAACACCACAGCATTTCAGAAAACACAACGCCACAGCATTTCAGAAAACGCCACAGCATTTCAGAAAACACCACAGCATTTCACATTGGACGGAAAGGGTATTCCTTTAGGGAGAACACTTCTTGTTTGTGATTGGACGGAGCTTGTCTGTATGACGTTGTTGTGAGTGTGCAGCTACAGGTTAGTTTAACTTTAGCCTGATCCATCCGATTCCGATAGGATTTACATGGAGATACGCCCCGCCCCCTCTCCAGCGCGTCTTGTTTGAATGACAGGAGTAAACACAGCTGACAGCCGCGGTGAAACCTTTATATATAGTCTATGGGTGAAACTCGAGCGATTAGAGTGATGTGAAAAAACCATGAATTAATGCTTTATTAATTCATGGTTTTTAAGGGGCGTATCTCCATGTAAATACTATGGTAGACTACCCAATATTTGCATTGCTCTAATCGCTCGAGTTTCACCGGGGCTGTGTGCTGTGTTTGCTCCTGTCATTCAAACAAGACGCGCTGGAGAGGGGGCGGGGCGTATCTCCATGTAAATCCTATGGGAGATACCAAATACAACAAAATGAACATATTTGACCGTGATTTAATTGTAATACACGTTTCAAAGTGATGCCGAAGTAACTACATACTGATACCGGTTAGTAAAAACCATGAATTAATGCTTTGACAAGTCTGCAGACAAGACGGCAGGCGAAAAGCTTTTAAAATGCGTGTTTTCTAAATGGAATCGGATCCATCAGGCTAAACTAACCTGTAGCTGCTCCGTCCACACTCACAACAACGTCATACAGACATAAATAAACCAGCGACTGTATTCTCCATGACACAGACAGTCTGTGGTTTGTACATGTTTAACTTTTGTCCAGTTTCTGAACAGATATGAGGAGCTGTGAGCTCTGTGTGCTAACAGCTAACGGCTGATGTGTTGGGACATATTGCGCTGTCGGGTGCTGACCAATCACGAAGCGTCATTTCTTGACTGGCAGCAAAAACAACCAATCACAGCAGTGCTTCTCTGGCTGGCTCTGTCCAATCACAAAGAAGTGTTCTCCCTAAAGGAATACCCTTTCCGTCCAATGTGAAATGCTGTTGTGTTTTCTGAAATGCTGTTGTGTTTTCTGAAATGCTGTTGTGTTTTCTGAAATGCTGTAGTGTTTTCGGAAAGGCTGTAGTGTTTTCGGAAATGCTGTGATGTCTTGCACTTCAGGGCCACCGTAAAAATGTTTGTACTTTTATTTCTTTTCAAAAATATTTTTCTTACACTTTAAGTAAAAGAGTATTTTTTTTTAAACCACTTAACGAGACGCAACGTTTGAAAAGTTCCCTCACATGTTATGGTCAGTATTGTGGTCCCTGTCTGTAGTCCTGCTCCAGTTGGTACAATGTACTCAGTGTGAAGCCTCATAATACCATCAACTTTAAAGCAATGTGCAGAATCAAATGTATGCACATATGAGTTACTCACAGTTGATGGTGAGGATTAGTGCATCACTGGTTCCCTCACTGACTGGATTAGATACAAGACAGCTGAATGGTCCCTGGTCGTAGCGGGTCACATTATTTATAGTTAAAGTGGATCCTCCATCAGTGATCTGAACTCTGTCACTTCCTGTAACCTCAGAGCTGCTGTTCAGCCAGAGGAAAGAGAGAGAGGATCCAGAGGAGGAGCAGGACAGACTGACGGAGCTGTTGAACTCCACCAGCTCTGTGCTGCTGGAGGTTACCATTACATTAGAGACTGGCTCTGTGGGAGAAACACAACAAATATGTTATAAAGTTACAGTAGAAGAAAACACTGAAGTGGCATGATTATTCTTGGCTCCACATTGAACGTTTTACAAGTTCCATCAACGAAAAAAAGCAACATTTCATACATTTTTATTTGATGATGGTGGTGCAAAGAATAAAGGGCCCTACTGTATATCATTGTTTACTTGCTCAATCGCTACGCATATTTTCATTCAGCAGAGAAAGATATGCAACATGTGAAACTTTCTCACCGTATACGTCCAGTCTTGTGTCCCTTGACTGTGATCCTCCTCCAGCTATTAACATGTTAACTGAGTATCTTCCACTGTCAGTTAGAGCCAGGTTCCTGAGCTCCAGAGATCCAGTAGACATGAAGAAGGTGATCCTGCCTTCATACTCTGGTGCAGGGAAGTTGCTACGAAAGAATGTAAATATTTCTTTAGAACCAAACTTCCAGACCAATGATTGAATAGTTTTTCCTGGAGTCAGATTTGTGGTGAACATCACTGTTTCTCCCACAGCTGCATTCAGAGGACCGTCTGGCAACACACCAGCTCCTTCAGTTAAACCTGGAGAGAGACAGAGAGAGGATCTACTGTAGAAATCATTCACAACACAAATCTGCAGCAGAAAAAGTAAGCTATGTTCTCTCTGAGGAAGCTCATAAACTGTTTATCTGGACGTGAAGAGACTGTTTTCAATGCTTAGTTTTAGTTTCAAGTTATTTCTAAATTACTTTCAGGTCGTAAACCAAACAAAACCTGTGAATAAAGTTAGGGTAATACTAGGTTACCATAATTATGCCTCTAAAATGTTTACCTTACCAGAACTGTTGTTGATCATTGACAGTGTACGCAACAAGCAATTTATAAATGATCCTTTTATAATTAATTGAAAAATGGCCTCTCATAAAAGAGCTTAGTTTTTATTATGTCCAAACAACATGTAGATACCATGGTGCTGTGGAGTCACACCAGACATGATGCAGAGATTGACCAGGGCTGTAAAGTGGCTCTTCTCCCACCTTGTTTGGACTAAGACCATCTTTATACTTAGCTAATACAAAAATATAAATCAATAACAAAATTATCCTTCAACGGTGTGTATAAAGTAATTAAAACAACCTTTATCAGATCTGACACTTTCATGCATCAATATTCAAAATCCAGTATTTATTATATTATTCTGAAATGGGCCACACTGCATAACAAATACTTTTACTATAAATTACTTAAATGCCAAAATCTTTGTACTTTTATATTTAAATATTTTTTTTTACACTTTATTTTTTAAACTGCAGGAAAGTAAATGCATTTTATTAAATATAATAGATGGAAAAGTTGTTCTTATTACATAATTCACCTGACCGTTGAAGTTATTTTAAGATTTAGATTTGACTTAAAAATGACATTGTTATGGATTAAACAAAAAAACGGTGTAGTTAAAATGTTCACTTAAAGGGGACCTATCATGCAAAATGCACTTTTGTACGTCTTTTATACATGAATATGTGTCCCCGTTGTTCCAGGGAACTCACCAAGTGTCAGAAAACACAACCCTCTCTATTTTCCTCCATACCCAAATCTCTAAAAAAGGGGCTGCAACGGATCTGATAAAAACTGATCCAGATTTGAACACTGTCCTGACGTCAGGACGGTGGCGCTACGGCTATTGGGCCAACTCCACCTATCAGGGGAATGTGGGGTTGGGCCACGGCCGGCCATTGCCGCTCGAAAGCGCTGGAGACGCTGTAGTACATATGCCAGGCCTGTAAGTGGCGCTGTAGTCTGCCACAAAAGCAGCGAAGAAGACTTCCCGCGCATAGTTACCCTTCTGTTTATTCTCCGCTGTGGCTCTTTTTCTCCCTCCCCGAGGCAAGCGTTTGCTCCTGCTGCTGTAATTCAATGCAATCCCTCCCCATCGAGGCAAGCACTGTAATTCTCTCCGGTTAGTCCACCAGCAGATGACAAACACCCACCTCTCTGCCTCTTCCAAGGAACGAGGGGACCGTGCGGCAGAGTTTCAGTTAGGTTTTTTTTCGCCGGTCAAGATGTCCGTTAAAGTTTAAATCTTCCGGACAAAATTAGAAAAGTGCCGGTCAAAGGTCTTCTTTGTTATTTATTGAGCTTTAAAACAAATGAATAACGACTCTATATAATAATTAGGGCTGTCAAGTTAACGCGTTAATAACGCATTAACGCAAAAATAAATTAACGCCACTAATTATTTTAACGCGATTAACGCATGTGTATTTTTTGTCCTCGGCCGCCCCGTAGTTTCAGAGCACATCGAGTTTAAAATACCATCTACAAGCTGATGCTGACAGCCCCGCTCCTGCCGCCCGCTTGTGGCAGACCACACTTCCACGTTCACCGGCAGGCCCGGACTGGCCATCGGGAGGACCGGGACACAACACGTGAGGCACACCTTACGTGTTGTTGTTGTTGTTAGCATCTGGTGCTAGCTAGCTGCGCTAACGGATATAAGGAGCCGTTTCAATGAAAACAGAGGAGCGACATTTCGCCGACAACTGCGCCGATGCACTTGACTTTATGCAGGTAGCCAGACAGTGGGACATTGTACGAAAAGTCAGCACACTCAGCACGGATAGTGCGCGCAACATGATTGCAGCGTCCAGGCAGCTCCCGTTCGAGCATATATGCCTTGAGCTGCACATAGCTCCAACGATCCATCACAGTGTCCACACACACACACACACACACACACACACACACACACACACACACACACACACACACACACACACACACACACACACACACCAGAGTTCCCGTTAGCCGGTAATTACCGGACTATGACCGGTAAAATATGCTGATGACCGGCAAATCTAAATCTCTCCGGTCAAAATGTCCGGTCAAAATTATTTCCCCTTAGCGCAATACCGCATCAGTTGCGCCACTTATGTGACAGACAAGAATAGTATGTGACAGACAAAAGAGTATGTGACAGACAAGAATAGTCAATTATAATGTCTACACTTAATGTGGAGAAAGAGATGTCCTGTATGGGTTGATTGTGCGTTGATCTGTTGGTAATGCCTCGGGGTTCTGGTGGGCATGTAAACAAATGCATAATGCTGCGTTATACTTTGTGGCCTCACCCGGTTGCATAGCGACGCTTATTGTTTAGGTGTCTTTTAATAAGCAGGTAGTCATATCATTAGCTAGAACTAGCTAGATCTGATCGATATGGAGATAAACGCGAGTAAAGTCTAATCTGACGGGAGAGATCAGCTGCTGCTGACGAGTCGACACGCATCTCTGCATGATCACCTGCAGCGGTGAGCGGAACAAAACACACACTTCAGGTTAGAATATCACACGTAGCTATTTTAATTACCTCTCAAACTACCTAAACTAGTTATAGATATGTTTAGTTTTACTGTCGGGTCACTCATTACTGGATCCGTGAGCTGCATGATACTGGCGGGTTGTCAGGAGAGGGGGAGAGCGCTCCGTTTATTATTCCCGTGTTATTGTAAATTACTGTACACATTTGAATAGTTAATTAATCTACTATAATTAGTTTGTTTAATATCGAATCATATCAATTTGTTTCAAAGCTCAATAAATAACATAGAAGACATTTGACCGGCACTTTTCTAATTTTGTCCGGAAGATATAAACTGTAACGGACATGTTGACCGGCAAATAATTATTCTAACGGGAACTCTGACACACACACACACACACACACACACACACACACACACACACACACACACACACACACACACACACACACACACACACACTGTATGTGAGAGGTTCCAGGTTGAATTGAGGCGAATATGTGTAATGTTCAGAGGTTATTGTGTTTAATATTCATGAGAATATTTGTCATTGTTCAAATGATAATAAACAAACATATAAAGCATATTTGTCCACTCATATGTTGATAAGAGTATTAAAAACTTGAAAAATATCCCTCTAAGGTACATTTAGAACAGATAAAAAATGTGCAATTAATTTGCGATTAACTATGGACAATCATGCGATTAATCGCGATTAACTATTTTAATCGACTGACAGCCCTAATAATAATATAATAAAACACGGAGGACGGAGATCTCCCCCCTCTTCTGACAGCCCAGCAGCTGTTCAGAGCACGCTCCCCTCTCCTGCAGGGGGGCGTGGTCAGATGCAGCTCACAGAATCAGCCCCCTGCAAAAACAGTGCTGGAAAGAGCAAATGGAGCGAAATGAGGCATGGCTAAAATGCAGGATCTGTTTGGTATTTTGAAAAAAAAACTATATTTATATACTTTATATAGGTATGGCCCTACAATATATTGTTAAAATATAGCATGATAGGTGTCCTTTAAAAAATAATTCTAACACAAGAGCCATGCTGTTTCCTCGTATGAGACCTTACACTTGTTATGCTTCACCTTCATTATGCTGCTGATGCTTTGTTAGATATTACGTTGTTGCTACTTTTAAACTACTTTTACCGCCCTTCCTGTTCTTAAATGTAAAAATGAACACCGGTTATAGGATGTCGCATGACTTGCAATTGTTGCTGTGTTTTATTTTGAGACATATTTAGGCTTAGAGATTGTCAAAATCAGTGGTTGTACCTTCAAAAGCTTTGAAACCAGTATTTTTACTCAAATGTGCTATGTGTAAAACCGTCTCTTACCTGGGATTGTCATGTGAATGAACCACAGAAGAACGAGGGGGGATCTGCTGGAAGTCATTGTGCACACCAACAAAGTGACAGAAACAGGATGTGAGATCTCAGCTTTGTCTTCTTCTTACTGCAGTTTAATTTAAAAGATTTCCTGGTTCATCCCACCTGCTGCCGTTAGTAACCTTCAGTAGCACAGTGACCTCATGTGGTGACATTCTGATAATGTGCAGAGGAGAGCTCGTGTTTTTGAATGAAAAGACAAGGTGTATGAATTAAAGTGAAATTACAAATCTTTCCTTTCTGTTTGGTTATTTTTTAAGAAAGGACACTCAAGCTCTCGGGTCAGTCAGACCAGGATGTCAAAGTTAAACAAGTTCCTCAACTCTTCCAAAAGAAGTGTTTTATTCCCCAAACATTTACAATTATCTTGCCTTTATCTGGGTGGTGCTTCCTTAAACCCACTTATAGAAGGGAGTCCATTTCCTTAAGCTTTATAAAAAGTGTCCTGTGAAATGAGCTCAGGTCAAAGTTAAAGGGAAAAGAAGTTAAAGGTTTTTCACATGAAGATTATCATTTAAAATGTAAATGATAATCTTTATGCATGTTTTATAGAAGTTTTAGGTATGCAGGATCAACATTTTATGTATAGGTTAAACATTGTAATATATAATCTATTCAACCTTTCAAATGTGCAAATGTTCTTTCTTTAAAGGTGGGGTAGGTAAGTTTGAGAAACCGGCTCGAGATACACTTTTTGTTATATTCCATGGAATGCTCTTAACATCCCGATAGCAATGAATATCTTAAGTGCTTTGACAAAAAATCCATACAAAAATGTCATCTGTGGAAGCCGTAGTACTGTAAAAAGCACGACCAATCATCTGAGCCGGCCCGGCTAAAATAACTGGATGGCCTACCTGCCTGTCAGCCTTCCATCTGTGCACAAACTTAGCTCGTGCCCTCATTGGTCATGTGCGCGTTCGTGTGTGTTGGAGGAGGGGCTCTGTAAGGAAGTGGCAGAATTTTTCCGGTTGTGTATTTTCAAATTCTAGCGCACTCGAGCTGGTTTCTCCAAAATTACCTACCCCACCTTTAAGCTAATAATATGAACAATGGAAATGTCTCTACCGTTACTGTGTTAAAGTTTATTATAACCATTTAACACATGCACCATATACGCACGCGCACACACACACACACACACACACACACACACACACACACACACACACACACACACACACACACACACACACACACACACACACACACACACACACACACACACACACACACACACACACACACACACGAGCATTTTAACACCTCATGGCCTAAAGTCTCACATTAAGACTCTCTAAATCAGTTTTTTTTCTCAACAATCACATTTACATACAGAATGTCAAGTCCTTATCATGAAGCCCCACACACACAGGCACTTCAACATAAAACTTTTATTGCTGTCTCTATGAGAATATGACAAAAAAACGACCACAGAGGGAAGTGACGCGACCATTAAGAGATGCAAAAACAACCACAGAAAGACAGAATTAGACTATTGACCCCAAAGAGACACAGAGGAAGGCAAAATCTCAAAACGACAAATGGCAAAAAGTTTCGATAAAATACCTTTTTTTTTTAAGCAAGAAACCATCAAACTGCACGTTATTCCTTCCACATTGTCAATTATTTGACTTTGCGACGTGGCTGCGTGTGTTTTTATCTTAAGTAATATGATGACTGCAGTGGAAATACTTTCATAACGCACTCCCTACATCTTACTGTCTTATCTCTTATCTGTTTCCTGCCATGACAGAATTTTGTACATCACAAAAAAATGAAAAACCACTTCCTTTTATGAAGTCTGAACATTTACAGGTTTATTAAACGGTAAAAACTAAGAGAGACAATTCACAGAACTGTTGCCCTGTTTCTCTACATTGTTACCTGCAAAAGGCAATGCATTACACTGACTGTTCTTAAGGTTACAATGCAATCCCTTTCAATATAAACTAAATGGAACAACACTGAACATTAACGGTTAAACAACCCCTTTTTTCTCACACACTACAAACAACTGGTTCTGTTTTCACATGTTTTGTAAGAACGAGCAATCTCACACCCACAAAATGAGTCAGGAAGTGCAGCTGAACACTCGGCAGGTTCAGATAGTGACGGTTGGAGATGCTCAGTGATGGTGTGCATCAGTACAGAAACTTTTCAAACCATATTTTTGTCACCTTCTTACAAAACGCCTGCAAAGTCTGCAACATCTGTGAACAGCATCCTCACATTCAAAATCACAGCAGACAGAAGGGTAGGGTTAGTAAAACAAGTGTTATCAGTATCTGTGCTGTTTGAATATGTTAAGAAAATGTTCTTTAAATTATATTCTTGGTTTGTAAAATGGGCAGCATTAAGAACATTTTAAAACCACAAAGAATGCAGCCTTCCTCTCTGATTCATAAATCAATGATATCATATCAACACTGGCTCGTCACTAGATTAAAGCAAGAGGCACACATACTGTAGTATCTAAACATTATGACATCAATTAAGGTGAATCACAAAGAAATGCCATTTAAAAAGTCAATTATTCTGCAGAAACAAGCAACCACCAGACGCACCAGTGTGTCTGTGTTGGTTCTCCTTTTTTTTTTATTGTGTAATGTTCAACTTTTTTTCTTCCTGTTTTTGTCTTCCATCTTTGATGGTCACCAAAAGGTGGAATAGGAACTTTGTGTAACGAAATCTACCGTGACTGCTGTAGCCATGTCGGCACAGTTTGAGTGTTTCTCTACTGTGCAGCACGGCTAAGTAAAACGTTATTTACCTCGCTGACAGGTTGGAGGTGTGCTGGTTTGTGCCATTCCTACCTGTTATATATATTTGAAACCAAATGGCAGGAAACATGTCGACAAAATAATATTAGTGGAGTTTAATTTTCAAAATAATTATTCTTTTTGAGCAACACTTTGCAAGAGGGAATTAATCCAACATTTTGCTTCTATTAATTACATTCACATTAAAAGGGGCCATAATGCTAGTTTAGAGGTTTCATATTTGTATGTAGTGTCTCTCCTGTGACATGTCTCCATGCTTTAATGTTCAAAAAGCTTTTTATTTTCCTCATACTGCCTGTGCTGCAGCACCTCTTTTCACCCTCTGTCTGAAACCAGAGCCCAGTCTGCTCTGATTGGTCAGCTGGCCGGCTCTGTTGTGTTTGGTCAACTACTTAGATATTGTCCCGCCCCTTAGCTTATCACGTACAATGTGCTGGTGCGTAAGCTAATAGGTATGCAACTGTTACATGGTGATGTCACTGAAGTAAACAAAGGAGTCCAATGGAGGCAGTTTCAGGCAGTGTGTTGGAGAGAAACTCCCTCTGGAGGGAAAACAGGGATTTTAGGCTCTGCAGACCATTTACATGCACACTTTATAACACGCTACAGGAAAGGGAAACTCCAAAAAGCATAATAGGGCTTCTTTAAGAGCACGGTTAACTCTGGTACAGGGCCAAGACAGACGTAACTGAAGGAAAATGGCAGATTTTGATGGAAATGTGGTAACAAGGCACATCTGTGAAGGATATTTGGCTTTCTTCACATGATGTGTAGCTTGTAACAGAGTTTATTTATTGTACTTTAAAAGCTAGGTGAACCACAAAATATGGTAATGTTTCGCTAGTGTCGGGTAAATGATACAACCCCGGCTACTTTAAAATACTGATCTTTTCATCACTTAATACCTCCACATATAAAAAAGGTTCCTATCAGTGAAAAACTTACTACATTTCCTTTAAACTACATCGCCTGCTTTGAGGCTAAAGTGGAAAATGAGAGGATGATTTGAAGCCATGGAGCAGGTTTTACTTTCGAAGCTGGTATAAATATATAAATAAAACGTGTATCCAGCATCTTTCAGATTATTGCAAGTACAACAAAGACAAGTTTATCATCCATCTCGTGTTCATTGGAGCTGATGGCGCACAACTACGACCTCGGCGTACGTGACGTCGTCCGCCGTGTGTTCCTCATCGGGCGGAGCATCTCTGGATGTTTTCAGCCTGACGTCAGAGTACACCACATCCTAGGAGGTAGTGAAAGAGAGAGTGACTTGGTTGTTTGTGTTGCTTTGTTTAATGTAATCTGAGTGGAACTTATTCAACCTAAATGTAGACACTAGCTCACCACGTCTCTTTTGAGAACAGATTGCCGCGACACATCCATCACCGGACCGTCTGTATCTGCAAAGACAGAGGCGGTTTAGTCGAGGGAACTGAAACAAACTAAATAAATCAAAAGAGGGCTTTCGTTCTCACCAATGTAGACACGGTGTCTGACCTTCGGATCACGTCTGATTTAAAGGAATACAAATGTCTGCGGTTAGTTTTCTGCATCAGAAGGGACTTTTCTTTCTTATTCCTCAAAATTAAATAAAGCAACAACAAACTGACAAATAGCACATTTTTAATGTTTTCCAATATACTGAATATAAAATAAACGTAATCCTAATGTAAGCTTAATTCAATAAAAAATAATTATACAAAAACAAAGGCTTGAGGACAACAAGGTACATGTATGGAACAATATTGAAAAGGACTGAACCTAAACAACCCTGAAATTCAACTGAAAATAATCAAGTGATGCATACTTATGCAAAGTTTCAGGTTTTCTTTCTGTAATTTACCAACTGCCAGTCTACTTTGAATAAAAGCACTTCCTCGTTAGTCCAGCACATTACAGTAATACTGTTAAATATACCCGTCTGCTACACTGACAGACTTTCTTTTTGTATTACTAACAAACTCTCTTTTCAAAGCTGTTTCCACAGTTACATTACCAGCATGCATTTTGGCCAAATACAGATTTCTTTACCTTCAAAACTGCAAAAATAAATCTTCAAACATGTGTCAAAATGAGCTTTTCATAGCGTAGCACTGGAAAAGAAAACTCATTAAAAACTGTGCATGCATTGTCATTGTATGCTAAGAAGATACAGTATATTTTTATATAGTTACTGCAAAAATGTGCGCAATTTTTTTTGGTGTTTTTCACAGTTTTTAAAACGGTATTAGAAATTGAAAATGTGCTGGAAATATAGTGTTTTGCAGATGGAATAGTTTCAATGAGAAAGCAGGGTTATAGATTTTGGAAACATTGAATGCACTTTGTTAAAAAAATGATTTACAGTTCGGTCCTAAAAGACTTCTGTTTCGCTGACATTTTGAAGAGTTTCACCAATGTTAGCAATTTCTTTTTAAACTGTAATTGGAGGAATACCCGGTAATGCTGATTTTGTAGAGTCTGGTTTATGGGTTAACACTCACTTTCTGATGAAGATGAGGTATACAATGGCAGCCACGATGCCTAACAGCAGCATGACGGCGATCACTATAGCAGACACCGTCCCTGCAGATAGTGGCTTCTGTTCTGAGAGAAGAAACATGACTTTGATTAACCATCACTGTTCTGTTTAATTCATACCGTTTATATAATGCCAATCCATTTATCATTATTGTTCACATTTTAAATAGTTGATGGACAACAAGGCAACTGATCACACTTCAAGTATTTACTTAAGGAATCAAAGCCATTGTTTTCCTGGGTTTGGGGAAGATTATACCTATATAATATTGTAATACTGTATTTGACATGATATATCGTAATGTTGCATAAGTGTTGTCCTTTCCTGGTTTTAAAGTACAGTAAGGTGATGTAATTTTCACTAATCCATTATATTTACATAACTGATGATTATCAAAAATGTAATTTTCAAAACTTTACGGACGAACCAATAATAGACTCTACAATATCCTTGCGGTATTGAGGTATTTGGGACACATATTGGGATATTTGATATAGTCCATATCTCCCAGTCCTAGCAGTGGGATTAAACAAATGTACATTAAACTAGTAACAAAAAATGGTATCAGAAATACGGATTTTCATCAAGAATGCTTTTCTTACTCACCTTGAACAACAAGTTTGGTGGTTCCTTCAAACACACCACCGGGAAAAGCTGTAACGGTGCAGGTGTACGACCCTGCATCTCTAATTTTCACATCTCCAATTATCAAAGATTGATCTGCAATCTTCACTCTCTCCTTCAGCGAACTGTTGTGGACACTAACTTCTGATTCAGCATTAGAAACAATGATGAGGATATCCTCTCCTTCTGGTGTCTTCAGCTCCCACTGAAACTGAGAGATGATGTCATCTTCTGGTCCCGGGATGAATTGGCATCGCAGGGTGACCTCCTCTCCGAGGTATCCCGTCACTTCAGGCTCCACTTTGACTTGTTGTGCCTCAAGAACTGCAACAAAAAGTAATGTGAAAAGATGGCCGTTTATTATTCTTTTATCAAACAAAAAACCAGATGATTTGTAATTGAACCTTATTTTAAAACACACATGGAGTCCTTTTTATAACATTTATAACATTTATAACGTGGTTTTGTTCATTGCAAAACCCAACTTCCTAAAATTATGTTTTAAGATACCTTATGCCTTTTGGGTTTTTATCTTCCCTGTAGTGTGTTATAGGTTTTTGAGCATGTAAATGGTTTCACACGTGAATTCATGCCTTAAACGTCTCGATTTAACTTTGTTATAGAGACATCACGTTTTGCATGTGGCATAAGTGTGGTCTTTTTAGCCAATAGAAACACTTCTACACTTCTATCTTCTATGGGCTAGCGCTTCAACAGAAAAATAAAGAGCTTTTTTAGCACAGAATACAAATATGAACCTGAAAATGAGCATAATAAGTATTCTTTAATTAAAATGGCTCCTCTGTGTTCACACATGTTCTAGACAGAGTCTCTAGAAGACTACGATGATGTTCAGTGGAAGAAAGTAAATAAGTAAAAGTACTGTATTTACGTTTTATTTTAGGACAGAAGTATTGTGCTGCTAAAACAGAACATGATACGCTGGCAAGAGATGTGCTGTCTTGTTATCTCTATCAACACTGTAAAGTTTTTTTCATAATTACTCAAGCCACCTTTTTTTCAGACACAGATTCAACACCACTTTACAAAAGCATCTGTTCGCACCACTGAGTATTTTAGAGAAGCTGTATATGATTGTAAAACTAGGCAAATTCAGTTTGGAAGAGGAAGTTTAAGAAATGATTCTCTAAAACAAACTTTTCAAATGATTTAAAATATATATAATCCTCATATCTTCAGTTTTAGGCTATATATGTTTTAAAAATGTCAAAACATTTTGTCTTACCTGGGAGTAACATGATGTAAATCAGGAGCATTGCAGGGGACTTGCTGCAAGTTTTCATTTTTCATAACTACAAGGGGTGGACAAAATAATAGAAACACTTTACAATACAACATAAGAGTGCAAATATGAGTCAATGCAGCAGCAAATTAGGATAATACTGAGCTACTAAGTTCAAACTGAAGTACGCCAAGTTAAACTGGCATGTAATAGCTTTTTCTTTGCAACAATGAACAATTTATTTAAAAAATAAGCTTTTAAGTCAATATTAAGGAAACTCACAGCTACAGGGAGGTAAATCCTTCGATGTCCGGTTGCTGGTGCTTTAGTCGAAAACACTGTAAACATATGACTTGTGGAAACGCCAGACAAGTCTCAGAAAAGGATGACAGCGAGGCAAACACAGAAAAAAATAATTTGCAAAGAGGAACATGGTGTGATGGTTGGCCACCACAAACACTGCATGACACACCTCACTGAGCACTGGCACGATATGTGCTGTGAACACGGATTCGATTACACTCTGATAGTCAAGTGTGGTAACCGGACATCCCATTTTATCCAACGTGTACACATCTGCATATTTATTATTTAAAATAACTCACCCAAGAAGTAGAAGTGGACATGACTGCTAGCACTCAGCACTTTTACCAGGAATACAAACCAATACCATTGTTTTGAATGGGAAGTCGTTTCTCTTTCAATCTGTCATTTGTTATCAGTAATCACCAGGCTGCATTATTTCCGACTTTTGGTTTATTTCTCTCTGCCCCACGTGAAGCAGCCACAAGTTTTAAAAGCGCCCTCTTGTGGTGAAGTGAAGGTATTTGAAGTCTAGAGAGTGTGGTAATGAAACATTATTTTTCTCTGGACAAAGTAAGTCCTAAATAAGCTTGGCTGACTGAGTTATGTTTTAAATCAATATCGGAGGCTTTGCATCATTGCTGGCTGTTTTAAGAAGTATCCAGACTTCCTGATTTTAGTGGATACAATTTTCAGACCTTTTTTTTGTACTAGAAGCCAACAAGCAGATACTGCACACAAACATGAGATTGTTGTGGAGATGCAATAGAACCAAACAGTCTTCACACAGTTTAATTATGTTTCATGTTTTTTTCTGTTTCTACATCTAATGCTTGTGATGAGTTATTTTAAATTCTTTGAATGTGTTGCACAGTTCTCAAAATGCTGCTCTAGGCGTGTGTTTGTTGTGTGCAGTTGGCTGTCAGCTGGTGATAATGCTCAAGCTTTTGTTCCCCATGAAGACGGGAACTTGTTGAGACTCTCTGCTCAACATGGTTTTAACTTCCCTCATTAAAGGGGCCTTTCTAAATCTGGCAGAGCAGGTGTTATGGCGGCTGGATTTGGCCCCCTCTGTAACTTTGGCTAGGATGATTCAAGATTCAAGGCTTTTATTATCCTGTGCACAGTATAGCTACAGTGTAGATATGGCAATGAAAAACAAATGTTTTGAGATGTGCAAGTAAATACAAATAAAATAGATATAGTGCAAGAAGAGTCTAAATACAAGTAAATGGAATATGATATATAGATACATAATTTGCCCAATGCAAACGGATGAATGTTATGGATGTTCTTTAAATAGTTCAGGTGTTTAATATTCTTAGGGCCTGTGGAATGAAACTGTTCCTGAGTCTAGTGGGTTTAGATCATAATCTCACCAAAATCCCGCTGGTGTTAGCTATTCCCCTTCTAGTTTTCACAACCAAAGCATTTACTCTGGATTCATGGTGGATCAAATTGCAGGGGGGCTTTTAAATCTGGCAGAGCTGGTGTTAAGGCTGCTAGGATTTGGCACCAACCCTATACCTTTGGGCCAGGATAGTCATAATCTCAACAAAATCACACTGGTTTTGGTTATTCCCCACTAGGTTAGCAAACAAAAGCAATTTACTCTGAGCCCATCAGCTGAGAATTAAAGGAGTGCTTCTAAATTGGTTCACTTTTTTCCTTTGCTGACTTTGTGGTTAGTGGGTGAACTTGAATCCGATTTGTTGATTCAATGATGCCTCTCGAAACAGATCAAGAATGCGTACAAAACCAAACATATGAATATAATGGGAGGGGGGTCAACAACATTTCAAGCAAATAGTTTTTTCCTGGTAAATTATAAATGTTGATTTAACAGGAAGTAAAATAGGGGAACAAACTATGATTAAAACAAGGCCACAGAGTCATAATTGGAATCCTCAAAAGAGGAACCTTGAAGGTGCAAGAAACACATTTAGATCAGATAGCACTTCTTGAACATTAAAGCACTGTCAAAGCAGAGGCACAAAATAAAAGTATGAACCTGAAAATAAGCATGATAGTTCCTCTTTAAAGTAACCCTCAACGTTTACTCCTAATTAGTTTAACGCAATGGTTCCTGCTGTAGTTAAAAATCTTGCTTTCATGTTGAACTATTTTTTTACAGCAGTCACTTAATCCACTTTCAAATATTTATTCCAGTGACTGATTGGTAATGTTCTATATAATATGTTATGTCCTTTCTTAGTACAGATATACAGTAGATGTACTTGATTGATCTTAAATTAGGATACTGTATGAAAGTGTTACGACAGCAGCTGGTGATCAGGCATTGCACATTGCAACAGTAATTGAATACATGTCAACCGTAGTAATGTACATATATCTGTAGAGTATCAATAGAGAACAACATGTCATATATACAGAGTCTAATTCAGTTATGTGTACTGATCCTAGCACCACATGAACTTGATGTGTGTGTGTGTGAGTGAAAGATTAAGATGCTGGAGGAGGAAACAAGAGATAATGAAATAAAAACCATGCATTAATCTCACAGCCTCGCACCAGTGACCTCGTGGCAAGCTGCATCTCAGAAAAGTGATGTTTAATTATCTCCACCAATCAGAGTCCCCCTGCTAAAACGATCCCTACTGTAGGTGTTCTGGGTAATCAGGTCGGAGGTGTGCAAAGCTTTCCGTGTTTCAGTTGGTCGAGCTCAGCTTGTTGCCTGCATGTAAATGATTGGTGTTGGGGTTCATGACAGGAATAACAAACACAACAGGCTCTGCATCTTGAGCTATATTCCTCTGAGTCAGAGCACACAACATGGAGTGGAGACAGTGCTGCATTTAACATGGAGATTGTTAGTGGTATTAATAGCTAGAGAACGAATATAGTTATGTCTTCATCAAATAATACTAAAAGGTCCCCTATTATACTGTTTCTCATCAATATATTACAGGTCTCAGATATATACAAAACATGTCTCTGAAGTGTTTGGCTCCAAACACCAAACAGATCATTGCAGCATCCCATAATCCCCTCTGTTTCAGACCTGTTTCAAAAGTGCTGATTCTCTGTCTGTTACTTCAGATGAAAATAAGGAGCCCCTCCCCACGCCCCTCTGAGAGATATTTGGTTAAAAAGAACACAATGGTGCTCTAGGAGGAGATTCAGGTGATAAGGTGGGGGCGGTCATTATGCAAGCACGACAAAAAAGCTTTTGCGCCACATTTTGCAACACTTTTGCAACACGTATTTCCGGTGTTATACTTATTTTCACAGTTCACCTTGGTTGGTGATTGGCTAATTACAAAAGCCAAAAACTCTACTCTTCGTCTTTCACTCTGCAGACTGCATGCTCTCTGTATGACTGTCGTATTTTATTTCTTGCAAGAAAGTTCAGTCAAAGATAGCTGAACGGTTTGATTCTCTATCCACATTTGATAAATAAACTCCCACCACAAACACACTAAAGGAAAGGCAAACCCTCAAAACGCATAATAGGGCCTCTTTAAGGCGGTCATTATGCAAGCACGACAAAAAAGCCTTTGCGTCACATTTTGCAACACTTTTGCAACACGTATTTACGGTGTTATTTTAAATGTTGTATGTGACGGGACTACGGATGGAAACTAGCTCAAAGCTAAAATCCGGCTCATTACATTTAAAAACATTATTTTGTTTAAAATGTTCATTAATGTGCATTGTCCCGGTTCAAATAAACAATTAAATGAAAAAAATGTTATACGTATTTTCACAGCTTCATAGTAGAGGAACACTTGATTTGCATCTGAAGTGTAGGCAGCTGTTAAAATGCCAACGTTATTCGCGGTCAGTTACCCCCAATAATTCTGTTCGACAGACTCAATTCCTTAACAGGCCGTGAAACATTTCAAACGTTTTCATTTATTTCCTGCCGTAAACAGAGAGGACAGATATTTGGCAGAAATTAGACCTAAGATTTGTTGCATCTTGTAAATGTACAGTCATTCCTTCAGCAAGATCAGAACAATATTACTAGGCAAATCATTCATTTAAATACACATTATTTTGGATGTTCTACATACAGTTTAAAATATACCAAGGAAAAAAATGACTAACATGCCAACACATTTCCTCCCAGACCTTTTTAAATACACAAACTCTGACACTGATATTTCTACTTTAAGGATTTCTCAGGCTCTAATTATAATCTTGGTTAGGATGATTCATAATGTTTGCAGCTGTGAAGAAATGCTGTTGAACTTTTGTAACCCATAACTGGAAAATTGTAAGCTTTCTTTAACACAGCAGCTTCTTTAGAAAGATGGGAGGTGGAGAAGTGTCACAAATATGACTAAATGCATGTTGCGTTTTATGTTAAGAAGTACAAAAAACACATATATTAAAGGTGGGGTAGGTAATTTTGGAGAAACCAGCTCGAGTGCGCTAGAATTTGAAAATACACAGCCGGAAAAAATCTGCCACTTCCTTACAGAGCCCCTCCTCCAACACACACGAACGCGCACATGACCAATGAGGGCACGAGATAAGTTTGTGCACAGATGGAAGGCTGACAGGCAGGTAGGCCATCCAGTTATTTTAGCCGGGCCGGCTCAGATGATTGGTCGTGCTTTTTACAGTACCACGGCTTCCACAGATGACATTTTTTTATGTATTAATTGTCAAAGCATTTAATATATTCATTGCTATCGGGATATTAAGAGCATTCTATGGAATATAACAAGAAGTGTTTCTGAAATAAATTACATACCCCACCTTTAATGGTTTCTCATGATCAGGCTTGTATACAAATAAGAAATAAAGGCTTATCTTGTTCAAAAATTAATCCAACTTGCCTTTATATAAAGTAAAGTAATTAAGTTTATATTTTGACATAAATATCATTGTGAACAGGAACCATTGATTATTTCTGCAGGTCAAGTTATCGTGGTGCTATGATTTGTTGAACCACATGTACACACACAGATCATAAACATTTTACTCTCTTACATTTCAAAAAGTCTATTTAATTAAAATCTCTGTGTCAGGGAGGCCAAGCTGGTGCACTCTCTTGAGACAAAACAACATTAGATATTAGTATCTGCCAAGGAGGCGTGTGGGTTGTGCGTTGGTGTTGGGATCAGGGGGTCACAGGTTCAAACCCCACTACAGTCACCATGTCGTTGTGTCCCTGGGCAAGACACTTCACCCCAAATTGCTCCTGTGGGGATTGTCCACAGTATTGAGTATGTAAGTCGCTTAGGATAAAAGCGTCTAACAAGTAACAAGTAATGTAATGTAGTATTCAGTACACATTACATGTCACTTGTTAAGCTTTTATCCAAACCACCACATTTGAACTTATTCATTCAGTTATAGTAAATTGCATCAGTGAAGTCAGAATCTGAGGAACAAATATGAAGACAAGTATGTTAATATCACAGTAGAAGGGAATAATAAAAGGATTTTAAAATGTGAACGGAAATGAGATGTATTATAATGTTATCTCACCTGCTCCTGTTACAGTAACTCTCTCAGAGACAGTTCACTGATCAGCAGCAGTAAACACGACCAGCAGGGAGCAGTGCAGGATGCTTCATGAAGAGAAAGAGAACAACACTTATAATCACCTCTTGAAATAAAGTGTCCTTAAAATTGACAATAAGGCAGAATCTCACCTCTGAGATGCAGGACGGTGGAGTTCTGCAGCATGGTCACCATATTGGAGGCGGTGCAGCTGTAGTTCCCTAAGCTCTCCACCTGCAGCCTCTCGATGGTGAAGGTGGAGGTGTTCACCTGCGTCTCGTTGCCGTTGAACATCCAGCTGAAGGTCGCAGGAGGGACAGAGTCTGCTTCACACTGAAGGGTCACTTTCTGCCCCGGAGCTGCTGCTGAAGGTCCTGTTATTGATACGTTATGGGGTCCATCTGCACAGAGAGAAGTCAGATCCTTCATTTAAGCAAAAGTACTCAAACAACACTGTAGCACCGCTTACAAGTTTCAGTCCTGCAGTTCAAATCTTACTTAAATTTGCAAAATGTAAACATCCAAAGTAAAGGTACTCTATGACTGTTTTACAATGATGCATAGACTACTTTACTCATGCATTCATGTAAAAATGTATGGTATAAATGATTCTGTTGATTATTTTCTTGATTTGTAAAATAAATCATATGAAATGACAGTCACAATTATCCAGAATCAAAGGTGACACCCGACCCTTCCAATGCTGGGTTTAAGCACAAACATATTAAAACATGTATTATAGGGAGGCCGTGGCTCAGTGGAGTAGTGCGCTGAACTTAGTGCGCTGAACTTTGATTCAGGGGATAGCAAGTTCGAGTCCCACTGCAGTCAGCATGTCGTTGTGTCCCTGGCCAAGACACTTCACCCCAAATTGCTCCTGTGGGGATTGTCCACAGTACTGAATGTACAGTATGTAAGTTGCTTTGGATAAAAGCGTCTGACAAGTGACATGTAATGTAAATAATTATATTTATTGGAAAAGTCAACAGAAAAAGTAGGAAATCCTTACATCTGAGAAGCTGGATTGTTTTTAGGTGTGTTTTTCATGTTTTTTGTCCAAAAATCTTAACTTGTAAACTAACTAAATCTTGTAAATAAGAAAAAACAAATATTTCTTCTTCAATTGAGTAAAGATCAAATAGAAAGTCTGTACTCACTCAAATGTACTTACATCCCAGCACTCAAAACACTATTGTTTTTCATAAAAAATAATAGTTTTGGACTATAAAGTTCAGACGTCTACTTAATTAAGTTCAATAATAGCAAGAATTAAGAGATCATTTTTACATTTCAAAATATTTCATCAAATACATATAATAGTCACTTTGAAATGACTCTTCATGGTCCTTTTTTTGCTCCACCAGAGTTTCCGCAGCAGTACTCACAGTTGACGGTGAGCTGGTGCTCCACCGTCATGCTGCTGACGGGGTTGCTGACTCGGCACTGGAAGCTGCCGTGGTGTGAGCTGTGCACCGGGTGAATGAACACCGTCCTCTTGGAGTTGGAGAAGCTGACTCTGTCCCCCGGCTGCAGCATCTGACCGTCCTTCAGCCACTCTCTGCTGCTGATGGAGCCGGACGCCTCGCAGCTGAGGTTAGTGAAGCTGCGGTCCTCGATCAGGACGCCTGGCGGGCTGGTGATTGAGGCTCCGGAGATCAGAGCTGACGGAGCATGAAGAGAGTTAATTAGGACATATTAAGCTCATTTTCAGGTGTATATCAGTATTTAGTGTCTCTACTGTGACATGTCTCCATGCTTTAATGTTCAAAAAGCTTTTTATTTTTCTCATACTGCCTGTGCTGCAGCACCTCGTTTCACCCTCTGTCTGAAACCAGAGCCCAGTCTGCTCTCATTGGTTAGCTGGCCGACTCTGTTGTGATCGGTCAACCACTTAGAGATGTTCCGCCCCTTAGCCTATCACATACAATGTGTTGGAGCGCTAGCCGATAGAAGTGCAAGTGTGAGGGAAGTTTGGGATATTAGCCTTTGCAGACTATTTACATGCACAGAAACCTATATTACACACTACAGGAAAGGGAAGACCCCGACAAACAAAAATAGAGCACCTCTTAATATATAAAGAAATAGAATATAACAAGAGACGTAACGGTGCAAGTAAGATTCAGGAATAAGAAAAAAACACATTTTCATCATCATAGTTTTTAGTTAATTTGTTTCATGTTTTATTTAGAAACCTGTGTCATGATTTCTTTGTGTTTTCCTCCTGTTTTGATTTCCCTTGACTTATTAGTTTCACCATGCTACCACCTGACCTCCTGCACTGTCATCCATCATTCGTCCACATTTCCGTTTAGTCTTTGATGAATTCAGAATAAGACAATACCGATTATAAAAGTGATTAAACACCTGAACTTTTGAAAGAACATCCATAACGTTCATCGGTTTGCAACTCATATAATTCCAATGACTGTATAGAGATTATTCTGCACTGTTTCTATTATATTCTATTTTATTTTATTTACCTGTACTATATTTTATCTGTTTTATTGTTGGAGGAGCCTGTGACCTAATATTTTCATTGTCATAACTACACTGTGCACACATGACAATTAAAGCCTTGAAACTTGAAACCCACCATAGACATTGAGCGTGGTCTTCCCCTGCCTCTGCAGCCCTGCGTCGGGGATGATGGTCACGGTGTACTCCCCGCTGTCCTCCAGCAGCAGGCCCCGCAGCTCCAGGGCCCCGGTGGCTCGGTCCAGGGAGATCCTGCTGCTGTAGCCCGGCTCCGTGATGTTGGTGCTGGTGGAGGTGATGATGTTCATCCCTTTGAAGCTCCAGCTGATGGAGAGGAAGGGGCTCTTTGGAGGGGTGAGGGTCGTGGAGAACGTCACGGTGCCGGCAGCGGCTCCACTCAGGGGCCCCGGGGGTAAGATGCCCTCACCTGCACACATACCTGAGGACACAAGATATATTTACTTTCTCATGTTTTGATTTGACTTTATATGTCTTTGGGACATTTTGTTTTCATTGCATATTCTTACTTTAACTGCTTATGTTAATATAAAAACATGTATTTTATTTATTATATATATATATAGACTTATTACTTTTATTGGACATTGTACTTTAACTCCTTATGTTTACACATCTTTATCATTGTATTAGTTGTATTGCACCTTTTTACTAAATACTTTATATAAATACTTACATTTTTTTATGTGGAAACTTTCCTTTAAATTCTTATGTTCAGAGAAATATAGTTTGACTTAATAACAACTTTTTATATAAATTATTTACTTTAATAATTTATTGGACACTTTACTTAAGTAAGTAACATTTATTTATAAAGCGCTTTTCACAGACAAAGTCACAAAGTGCTTGACAAAACATTAAAACATCAGAAAAAATGTCTTGTTTGTGAAAATATACTTATTTTATTCTATATTATATTTTTTAATGATTTAACACCGTCATACTTCTGGCTTAAATGGTCATCAATATAAGCGCATTTATACAAAAATCTATATATTATACCATTATATTACATATTGTTATGAAATGGCCTGTTGTAGAAAATTAGAACATGTAGTTGCATATAACATATCATATTAAATGCAGGACTTTGTAACAGAGTAAGAAACCCTAACCTACAATGACACGAAATGCAAAGGAACACTTTCATACTTCTGGTTTAAATTGTACAATCTTTGTTATTAAAACAACAAAAGTAAATGAATGATGTAACTGATATTCTGAATGACCTACCTGACAAAAGAAGCAGCAATCGAGCAGCAGTCCCGAGCATCTTGTTGTCCGTGTTGTGCTCCTAAATCTAAATTGTGGAGAGTCCCAGGTTCTCCTTCTCTTTTATCGTCCCCCACCCACAGCACAGGACCCACTGCAGCCCCCCCACTAAGTAACAAACATTGTTTACGATGCCACTGTGCAAATACTTCAAAATGCCTGAGGGTATATGTTCAGTCAGGAGTACCTGCACTCAGGTTGAGGTTATTTTTGTGTGGAAATGGGCTTTGATCAGTCCAATAATAGCCAGCAGTGTTTAAAGGAACATCATTATTTGCCTGGATTTTGATTTAAATCTGCTGGACAAAACAGAAAATACAGTGAGACATCGCGAATGGACGCGGGAAGGGGGGGGGGGTGCTGAGGGGGCTGCAGCACCCCCATCTGCGAGGCTCCACTAGCACCCACATAGCGCTTTCACAATTCACACAACAAACAGAGACAAAATCAATTAAATTAGAAACATTACAAGGGTAAGAAATACAGAAAAGAGAGCGTTATGATGGCGGAGTAATGATGGGAGGGAAGACTAGTCTGAAGACGTGGGTTTTGAGTGCTTGTTTTAAATATGTCAAGGCTTATTTAGTTTTCTCCTTCCCTACATATCTAAAAAGTATACTGATTCCACATCCACACACATGGATTAACATCGATTTAATACATTAATGTAGCCTTTGTTTCTGCTAAAAGAGGTGTCGACCAGCTGGGGCAACAAGAAAATCGGTGAAATCGAGTGTGACTATTAAAAAATAAATCATTATTATATTAATATTGACAATAACAACCGACCCTCGGGGTAGCATTTGCTTGGCATTTCCGGGTATATCTCCACTGGTTGGGCCATGTTAACTATACCGTGTAACTGTCACGTTTGAAGGGACAAAATCGTGACATCTTCACGTCTCCCAGCATGGTAGATTGTCACATGTTCACGTCTTGCCGTGATACTGGGTTGCATTTAACACACATTGTCAAGCTGCGTCTTAAACTAATCTTCAGGTTCCCAGCTTTCAGGCAATGCAAAACACTTCTATGTGGCACAAACTCTTCACCTGCCATCTCCCACTAAAGGCAAGGCAAGTTTATTTATATAGCACATTTCAACACAAGGCAAAGTGCTTTACAAAAATGAAAGACATTAAGAGCATTAAGAAACATATTAAGAAATTACATTAAAAAATACTCATTTAAAAGCAAAGATAATAAAACATGAATAACAAAGATACATGAATTAAATGTACAGCAGTGTGAGATACACACATCTGAAATGTTTGCTCTGACTCTCAATCATTGCTCACTTTTTAGCAGAAATAGTTTTCTATGACCTCAATCTCTTTCTACTTTCTTGTTTAACTTGTCCTTTAGTTACTTCAAGTGTTTCATGCTAAACGAACCCCCCTCTGGAAAATTATAATCTGACCCCATGGTACCTTTTAGTTTTCGCTGAAACTAAATGCACATAGTTAAGTTTACCTTGTCTTTCTAGGACTTTTTTGGTTCTAAAGGTCCCCTGCCCCCCCTGCAAACATCAAAACAGGGTAGGTCTCTCCATCCGTCCCAGTGTACAACAAGTGTTGCAACAGAGGTTGAGTAACATGACATTTACACTGCGAGAGCCACCTTAAAAAGCATGGTACAAGAACTGCCTTTTCAGCGTTTCTTTTGGATGGAAAGCACTTCACAGCTAGAGTTTAACACAGAAACTGAAGTTTTATGTGATACAAAATACATTCTTAACATATAGAGTCATGCTATATCTCTGTACGTTTTTATGAGCTCCTTTGGTTATCTTCCAAGTCTGTTAAGTAATGTAAACACAGTTAAACAGACACACAAACCAAACCCCTTTTCTATACAATGATTACATCAATAGTGACATTGTTCTGAATCTCAAGACTTCTGCTTCAGAGAAAAGTGATTTCTTCATTATAATAGTAATGTAGTCCTGTATTTTATTGCAAAGTATAAAGAAGAGTTCTCATACCACTCGTATATTATATTGGTTTGGACAAACAATGATGTGAAAGGCGAAATTAGTTTTTTAGTTGCACAATAGACATGAGATTACTTTATAAACTCCTTGTTTTTGATTGAAGCCCAATAGAAACTCGGTTGTCTTTATATTTCAGACCACAAACAAATCTAATTTATTCTTGAAATGTATCAATCGATTATCTAAATAAATGTTGCTCAAAACAGATTATTAGACTACACAATTAAGCCTGCAGTCTGAGTCCTTTATACAAATGCAATGATACATTTATTTTCACATTTCTAACACGTAGTAAAAAGGTTTATATTTGATTCCTCATTGGTCAGACTTGTGTTTCCAGATCAACACAAGTCTGACCTTATTAGATCTTTCAACCAGGACGACCTCTGACCTGTGAGAGCAGCTCCTGCCAAGTCTTATCTGTGAGTTGTTAAATTAGTTAATATTTTACAGCAGAGAAAAGCCACTGTTTTGCATGTCAGAAAACTCCAATTTGATCCGACTGACATGAAGCAAATCCAGAAAACAAGTATAGTTTATTTTTGACGCCACTTTGAATTGAACCATTCCCATCTCACACTGCACTGTAACTTTTATTCATGTATTCTATACCTGTATTATTTACTATTTGCTTGTTCCATGTTCATTTTATTCTCTTCGCTTTCTAATGACTGTTTTTAAATGCCATTTTAAACGGTGGAAGCAGGGAGACGCATATACGTGCCTTGATCCCTGCCGAGTCGACGCACAACTGTTGATTGGTGTCAGTGCCAAAAAAACGTTTTAGGAGCTAATGCGCTCATGGTATAGATGTGGCACATACATCTTAGTTCCTACTCTTTTCCCTCACCCTATCCTAAGGGAGTGCATGTACGTAGACACGTTGTGCCTCTCCACCTCTGTTCCTTACTTCTTACTTGCTACCCTTTTCCCTCAACCTATCCTAAGGGAGTGCATGTACGTAGACACGTTGTGCCTCTCCACCTCTGTTCCTTACTTGCTACCCTTTTCCCTCAACCTATCCTAAGGGAGTGCATGTACGTAGACACGTTGTGCCTCTCCACCTCTGTTCCTTACTTCTTACTTGCTACCCCTTTCCCTCAACCTATCCTAAGGGAGTGCATGTACGTAGACACGTTAGTTTAGCTGCTATAGGCTTAGACTGTCGGGGGACACCTTACTTCTTCCTTCTGTCTGTATGTACCTGTGTACTCTCATGTTCCGAATAACCCAGCTTCCCCCAAATTTATTTTTGGTGTCTATCTACGCCGGGATCCTGAGTCGTGGCTGATCCTGTTGCTGCGGTCCTGTGTCCTGGATCTTCTATCCTGAGTTCTGGATTTGAGTCCTGGACTTTGAGTCGTGGCTGAACCTGTCACTGTGGTCCTGCCTGACTCTCATCATATACTTCCCTGATGGCTTCCACAGGATTGTTGACATCCTCGTGGATTCATCTTCTTATTATAGACACATGCATTTCCAAACATTTGGTCTACCTATGCTGTAAATGTATTATCTCTTCGATTTACACACGTCATCTATTGCACGTCTGTCCGTCCTGGGCGAGGGATCCCTCCTCTGTTGCTCTCCCTGAGGTTTCTCCCATTTTCCCCTTTAAACTGTGGGTTTTCTCTGGAAGTTTTTCCTTGTACGATGTGAGGGTCTAAGGACAGAGGGTGTTGTATTGTCATACTGATATTCTGTACAAACTGTGAAGTCCACTGAGACAAATGTAACATTTGTGATATTGGGCTATATAAATAAACATTGATTGATTGATTGATTTTATAATGTGTGTGTATAATATGTCCCTCTAAACATCATGAAAATATCAAAGCTATTCATTTGATGTGTTTTCTATTCAATAATCCAATGTCCTTGTCTCTATCTATTTGTTCTGCTTCACAAATGTATGTAATTGAGAGTGATTAATCATTTTCAAGAGCACATCCAGCACAAAGCCTTTGTAAGTAATTAAATTGTCCCGAGAAACCTGTGAACTCCTTCTGTCCTTGTCCTGGTCTGTCCTTACTCTATGATTAATGAGTCACCTGTGTGAGCATCATAGCCTAATAATATATAAGATGATAAGATCTGACCTGACAACAGTTTAGAGAAGCTACTAAATACATCTGTACACATGCACACTTCTGTTTGAGGGTCACATACATTCATGTCATCAGTTATGAATGCTGACAAAGCCCATTTATCTTTCCATACCCGTGTCATGAAATGTTTATTATTAATATTAACTAGAACATATTACTGTATAGAGTCCAGTAATAATGTTAACCAGGCTCATGATGTAATGATTTTCCATCCAAAAAGCACAGGAATTGTTTAAAATATTCATCAGTATTTGATATGCATTTATAAATATGTTGATTTCACAGTGTATGAATGTACAAATGAATGAACAAGATCATAAAGCTGCAGTGTTTTAACTTCATATAATATTCCTGTTTGGATAGAAGAGACTAACATCACGATTGATGACTAAAGAAAATATCGTTGTTTACACTAACACTTCAGAAAACGAGTAAACTAACCAGTGTTTTTCTGGGAAACAACACATATCACCATCATCCTTCTATTTCATTGTTTAACACAAACAGACGTTCATATTACAATATTATCTATAATATACTTCATATCTACTGCCATATTAATACTAAAACACTGCAAATTGATAGATGAACTCAATGAACTGTATTGCGATGGGTTTACCAAAGATATTGATATTGAAGTGACTGTTATTTTGTATATATCGATTGTTGTGTTTTCTTTACCTTAATGTGTGCATATGTGTAAATGTGTCTGATTGTGTATATAGGATATACATATTGTATACATATTGTTATACATATCTGTATACTGTATAATTTTACATTCGGGATTGTTGGAAACTAAAGTTATATACTGTAGGACCATGTTACAAAGTTATTTTCATTTGAATATTACCAAAAACCATACGCAATATTGCTTAATAATTGCGGGGGGCTTTGGCACAGTGATTAGTGCGTTAGTGGTGTTCGGATCAGGGGAGCACAGATTCAAACCCCACTGCAGTCAGCATGTCGTTGTGTTCCTGGGCAATATACTTCACACCAAATTGCTCCTATTGAGTATGTAAGTCGCTTTGGATAAAAGCGTCTAACAAGTGACATGTAATGTAAAGTAATGTAATGTAATATAAGAACTTGGGGCAAGAAGTCATAAATAAATGCAGCTGAGAGCCGACTTTGTTGCTGTTGACATAGACAGAATAAATAATGACTGCCATATAAAGTGCAGGGCCGATACTCATCATATCAAAAGTATATTGAAGAGCAATTGTTTTATATCGAACAACATATCTATGTATTCTCACCTGGGAGTGTTATATGAGCTTCAGAGATAAGATAAGTTGAGTACATTCAATCAAATAAAAAGTAGTTTATGATGTGCTGAAGAAATGTGGCATCGTTGATGTTTTATAAACTCTGCTGTGAGTCACTGTCAGTAGAAGCAGACAGGTGTGATGTCTGATGAATTTAAATAGTATTTCACACATGTCATATATTTTAATGTCTTTGAGATTGAAAGGGTGGGAAATACTTTTCTCACATGCATGGCTAGTGTTTAAGTGAATGCACAAACTACCAATTGTTGTGTATCTCTGCTCAACACACTGTCATTAAACATTAAGACTGATCTGTATTTCTCTTTAATTCTCAATGTTTTTCGTAAAACAGGAAATAGTAAAACTTGATGTTTCTGTCGTGATCATGGCAGTAACAAAGGAGGCATTAGGGAACCAGATACAGTGTTTATTAAATATACATATACACAACATGTATTTCATAATAACATACATGTACTTTATTCCAATAAGTAGGCTTAAATGATTTTAATTATTTACAGCTTGTTAAATATGTTACATGTGCATAGAGTGGGTAATCTTTGCAAAACCATCAGACATTATCGTAAAACCAAATTACACAAAAGTTGCAGCTATCTCCCGTCAAACTCTCAACGCACTGTGCTCTGAAGGAGTCAGAACAATGTGTTTTAGTTGAACAAAATACAAATATATAATAGCTTTTTCCTTAGGGTGTTTGTTTTGGAAATTGGTGGTAGTCTTCTTGCTGTTTGTGTGTTGGTGTTTCCACATTTAATTGTTTATGCTGCAGGAGGGAAAGTTCACGAATGATTAGAAATATATCAAAAACTCAAAGACAAACAGTTGGATGTCTTACAAAATGAAATGTATTTACTCACGTTAAACTCACCGTCATAGGAAGCGAAGGCGAGATTTTATACAAGGGTGCACGTTTGTCCTTCACACTTAAGATTTCTACGGGTTAAGCCTGACAGCTGTAGCTTCCACTTTGATTTATCTGAACGTTCATCAGACTGAGATCTGGTCCAGTATATCAGACAGCAGGTTTCCATTCAGAAACCACTTAAATACAGCAGAAGGTTTGGAGTCAGCTGAGCACAACAGGCTGATGTTTGACCCTTTCTCAAAGTATTCTTGTGACGGAGAAAGCTTTAAAAGGGTATTTTCTGGCCCAACTGCGAGAAAAAGACATAAAATTGTATAATCAACAATATAATAACAGCAGCTTGAGCAAAACAGCTTCCAGCTTGGCTCAGTGTGAACGGGTCATTAATGTTAAGTGTGCCGTTTAAAAGCCGAGATGCTCCATTAAACTTAATACAGCCTTCATTTACTCAGCAGCAATCAAACAGCAAGGAGCTCAGTAAACACATTTAGATAAACTAACCTGACATGATGCCTGTAAAAAGTATAAATCAAAGCTGGGCCTGCATGATTTGAAAAAAACAACACATTAGGCTTGTTTGAGACGAGCTGCGGCTCGCCTCGAAAGTAGACGAGAATAGCCGATCGCAGCCGGGGGAGGTCTCAAAAAACTCGCCTGAAGTCGGACAGCTCGGAGTCGGCTTCTTCTTCTTCTTCTTCTCTCGGTTTTTGGGCGGATTTCAAACAACTTTAAGGTGCATACTGCCACCTCCGGAGTCGGCTTGATTCGGTTTGCATTTATAAATGCACACGGCATCTATTGCACGTCTGTCCGTCCTGGGAGAGGGATCCCTCCTCTGTTGCTCTCCCTGAGGTTTCTCCCATTTCCCCTTTAAACTGTGGGTTTTTCTCTGGAAGTTTTTCCTTGTATGATGTGAAACGTAAGGACAGAGGGTGTCGTATTGTCATACTGATATTCTGTACAAACTGTGAAGTCCACTGAGACAAATGTAACATTTGTGATATTGGGCTATATAAATAAACATTGATTGATTGATTGATAAAGAATGGACAAATGTGTTTAATCGTTAATGTCAGATATGTACTAAGTAAATACATTTGTTCCTGCTCAAGATTAGATTCAACTTTATTGTTATTGCACAGATTACAGGTACTGAGACAACGAAATGCAGTTTAGCTTCTAACCAGGAGTGCATAAAGCAGTAAAGTGAAAAGTAATGTACACAATCTACAGAATAAAATATAGAATGAATTGAATGATGAATAAACAGTGAGGGGTATGAATACACTATATACACAGTAGCCTAGCCTAGTATTAAATGAGGTTAAAATGTTAACATAGGTTCAGGAGCATGGCCACGCCTAAAAACTCCGCCTCAAACCACGGCCACCCCTATTTATATCCGGCAAAAGCTTCCGGCAACCGCTTGTCTCATCTTTCAGACTTCTCAGGATGACTAGAGATCTCCTCATAGTCCAGAACAGACCTGAATCCAGTAGACTTCTCAGGATGATTAGAGATCTCCTCATAGTCCAGAACAGACCTGAATCCAGTAGACTTCTCAGGATGACTAGAGATCTCCTCATAGTCCAGAACAGACCTGAATCCAGTAGACTTCTCAAGATGACTAGAGATCTCCACATAGTCCAGAACAGACCTGAATCCAGTAGACTTCTCAGGATGACTAGAGATCTCCACATAGTCCAGAACAGACCTGAATCCAGTAGACTTCTCAGGATGACTAGAGATCTCCTCATAGTCCAGAACAGACCTGAATCCAGTAGACTTCTCAGGATGACTAGAGATCTCCTCATAGTCCAGAACAGACCTGAACCCAGTAGACTTCTCAGGATGACTAGAGATCTCCTCATAGTCCAGAACAGATGACTAGAGATCTCCTCATAGTCCAGAACAGACCTGAACCCAGTAGACTTCTCAGGATGACTAGAGATCTCCTCATAGTCCAGAACAGATGACTAGAGATCTCCTCATAGTCCAGAACAGACCTGAACCCAGTAGACTTCTCAGGATGACTAGAGATCTCCTCATAGTCCAGAACAGATTACTAGAGATCTCCTCATAGTCCAGAACAGACCTGAACCCAGTAGACTTCTCAGGATGACTAGAGATCTCCTCATAGTCCAGAACAGATGACTAGAGATCTCCTCATAGTCCAGAACAGACCTGAACCCAGTAGACTTCTCAGGATGACTAGAGATCTCCTCATAGTCCAGAACAGATGACTAGAGATCTCCTCATAGTCCAGAACAGACCTGAACCCAGTAGACTTCTCAGGATGACTAGAGATCTCCTCATAGTCCAGAACAGATGACAGATGAGAGAAACTGCGCCGCCTCGCCGCGCCTCGCTCTCAAGTCTGCGGGCGTCTTTGTCCCGCGAGATTTCAACGTGTCATGTAGGCGAGCCTCCAGAGCAAGTCGGACAAAATGACTAACCATCATGCAACGCACTAGCAAGACGTTGATCGCAATTGCGCAGGTCTACGCAGGTCTCGCTTGTCTCAAACAAGCCTATTGTGAGGATTTGGTCTGATCTTGTAACATGCTCCCGTTGATTGCAAACGCTCCAGAGGGTCGTTTATTCACAAAAAATAACCCTCTCTGGAAAATCCTAAATTGTGGAATAGTTTGGCCATTAAAATGTTTTTTGATTAGATTTCTAGCGAAAAGTGTATATTGTACTTTTAGAATCTACATCCAGTGGATGTGTAGGATCTATAGTTTGATAGATATTACGAAGATGATTTGAGGTCTCACCAGGAGAACGTGTATATGCGGCAGCTTCCATGTAAAGTTAGCGTGGGTGAAAACAGTATTTCCGGTGTCGAAGTTTTCATAATAAAACCGGAAGTATTCCCCTCACTGTCAAATGATTACACAGTGATATCTGCATTACTCATCCAGTAAAAAACATCAGTTTATCCTTGTTAATTACACAATATTGATTGGTTTAAATTGTTCCGACAATTCCGGCTAAAATGATTGGTCGTGCTTTTTACAGTAGCCTACTACGGCTTCCACAGATGACATTTTTGTATGGATTTTTTGTCAAAGCACTTAAGATATTCATTGCTATCGGGATTTTAAGAGCATTCCATGGAATATAACAAAAAGTGTATCTCGAGCCGGTTTCTCAAACTTACCTACCCCACCTTTAAGGGTCACATGATTGACACTATGAACATTTATTTTAAATACTTTTCTCTGTCTCTCTTTGTTGTGCCAGTTGTTTGGCTGGGTGGGGGACACGTTTAAACCATAGACTGTATATATAAATGGACGTAGGGTCCGTGACGTCACCCATAGGATTCTGCAGAGTTGCAGAGAAGCCCTTAGTAGGCGGAGTCGGCCACTAACGGCTCGACAGTGGCGTCAGAGTTCCACTCCTGCCTGCTCCAGCCTGCTCCAAATAAGGGCAAAGAGGCGGAGCCGAGGCGGGACCTTCTGCCTCCGGGCTGGAAGTTCCAGAGCTAGCTCAAGCTACCAAGCTAAGCTAACATGCTCCCCATCTGCACACTGCCGTCGCATTGTACGTTTCTAAGGTAAGCGGACATGAGACTATTCAGCAAATCTATAAATAATAATCTAAGTTGAGTTTTTAGCATAATACTTCAGAATCTTAAAATCCCTTAACGTTTGTATGCAATGTGCTAAATGCAACACTGGAATCAAGCAAATATTAATATGTTTGCATGACATTAGTTATTTATATTTTGCCATCACTTAATTATACGTTTAATACATTTAAGTTAAGCTAAGGTGCATGTGATGATAGCTAGTTAGTGCTCTTACCTGTGAGGCCTCCTCCAAACAGCATTATAACCAGACTGTGTCATTAAAACTATAAGTACCAGTTCTAGATCCTTGACTTTAGACAAACAATTCAAAAGACAAAATGTATTTAAAGACCAATCTTTATTTGAAGGTGCCTCTTAACCTGAGATATTAGTTATACAGTAATAGTATTGACAATCTAAAAAAACTGAGCAACTCAACGGTTCACTTTTATATTTCTTATTGTCTAAACATTTATTATTTTCATTTTTCCCCTCTCATATTCAGTGTGGACGGATTGAGACAGCGTGGTGTCCAGAGAGCTGCAGAGACTTCAGGGAGAAACCTCCGTGTGATGGACGTCCAGTCTGTTGGTTTGGAGAGGACTGAGGGTCTTTCCTCTGTGAGGAGGATCAGACCTGATGGAGGAGCCCATGCATAGCTGATACTACCTGATCAGGCCTAGTCTGTCACTTTATTTGACTAAATGTGTTTACTTATACATTTAATAGGTTTACACCTTCTGTCCATATGTGCTTTTTATTTAAAACATGTTTGATTAACTTTTGGTTCACATTTCAATAAATTGAATTTGTATTTGCACTCCTTTTGTCCATTATTCTTACTGAAAATGTTAGATTACACATTCACATCCGACTGAAGATTGGCCCCATTTATTTGCGTTGCAAACTCTGCGGTACAAGGTACATGTTGTGAAGCTCATAAAGTGAGGCAAATAGAAATAATCAGCTGATGGAGTGTAGATGTGGAAATAGGTGCATTCGATCAGCTGACTGTGTTTTCACAATAAAAAGTAGTTTCTTAGTGAATGTCCTGTACTGGTCTTAACATCTCATAACATCAGCTTTTAATTTTCCTATTGGATGTTTTTCTTGACCCTCGGAGAAAGAGGAGATGCTGAGTCGTGTCTTTCAGGCATGTCCATTCCTAACAAAAATTGTGTTATTTATGAAAGAGGTGTGTTTGTGTTTAGGGGCTGTAGATATAATTATTTTGTAATTGTAATGTTTTATTTTATTCCAACAGTGAGCTACAAAGACAATCAGATTATGAATGAACAGTATGACATTTATCAACATTGAAATGTATTTTATTATCAAAATAATATTTAACTGTTATCAAAACTTAGTGCAAGTGTAGAAGCTTGCTCTGTTGTCTCACTGAAAGAATAACTTTTACCACGTTTTCACAGACAATATTGAGAGATAAATAGCAGTTGTCACTATGCGTTAAATATCTTTGCCTTCAATACCTTAAATGAGAAAGCTGACAGTCATATTGCTTGTTAACATCTAAATGTAACCCTTTGCATGGAAAAAACCCTCAACTTCAATGATGTGTAGGTGATCTAGTATTTAGTATTGTTTAATGGAATGTATATCAGTGTATTAAAGTCAATACTTCATTTATTTAAACCAATATCTTTCTTGATTCTTTGTACAGTATGAAAAAAGAGTATTTGTACCTGTGCTGAAGTTCACTGCTGTGAGGAGTCCAGTGCTGTCTCTCACTCTCTGGTCCAGCCTGTCTGCATCACCTTCATAATTTAAACAAACAGATATATATGTAAAGAACCATGTGTACAAACAATATAACTTATTATCTTCTGTTGAACATGTTGGATTGTGTATTGTCCGAGTCAGGGTTCTTTTTATTTTACTGTAACTTTGGAAGTTGTGTTACCAATGCTTACTGTTTATTTGATACCAATTTGGTAATGCAATTAATAAAAACAACAAGGTTTGGGTTCGTTCTTCAGATGACTGTGATGTTAACGTGTAAGCTCAATAATGAACTCCAGCTCAACCAACCATATTGTAATATCTAAGTAATCATCCGATATATAAGCATGAAGAACAAACAAACACGGCCGGGGTCAAGTTGTGTTCCCTGGATGAACTGGGCAGGCAGAGTCCCTGTAGCTTCACGGACGGAGCAGCTAGCAGAGAGACAAGAAGCTAACAGCAGCAGTCACTTGACAGAGCTGTCACTCAATGTGACCACGCCCTAATTTATGCAAAAACTTTAAGACCTAATATAAATAAAAGGGTCATGTTAGAAAACAATTCACTCACAGATCCATAATCATGAAGGTGGAATCTAACTATATACATAATAAAATGTATTGCAGCCAGGGCTAGAAACGTTTTTTTTCTGCTGTGAAATTGGGCATTTTAACATGGGGCTCTATGGAAATTGCTCCTTTCTGCAGTCATCGTCTATCGGCCAATATATGAACTGCAGTTTGTGGCACTTCCGTATTGGCGTCCCGGCTCTTCCCCAGAGTTTGCCGCTTGGTTTAAACACCAGGTGGCAGTGTTTGCGGTCATGGCCATCATGGCCGTGCAGGGCGTGGCCAACATGCAGGCGCAGTGGGCGATCATCGGAGAGTTCAGCAACATGCCTCAGGAGGAGCTGCTGGACTGGATCCAGGAAAACACCCCACCTGGTGAGTGAAGGATCAATAAACCTTAGGAACGGGCACTTCTATAATTGTATCAATTTATTTTTGCTTATTAACTATTTAATTATTAAGCAATGGAGTTTATTGGCAACTTCCATGGTTGTAATACGTGTGTTTTAATGCCCATAAAATAATAAAATGAGAGTTAAAAAGCAGAACATTTGAAAGAATATATCGGGATATCAAACAAATGTGACAATGTGCTTGAGATATTTTACGTTACACATAAAGCATGTGACTTCAAACGTCCACTGAAGCTTCTGCTACGCCGATGAGATGATTAAATGGTAGAATATAAACAAATTGACCTCACTGCTCCACATAGATCTGATGTGACCTTCACGTGTTGTTTTTCACTGTTTAAACTTCCTCTGGTGCTCTTTGAATTGCTTCATCATCTCTTCTGCAATGGTTTAATGTTTTTTTTCCAAATGGAGAATTTACGCCACCTGCTGCTTAACTCGATAAACTAAAATGAAATGTATGTTATTGGCTGTTCACTAGAGATACCATTTGAACGTACACCGTCAGCCAATTAGAAATAAGTATTTTCCATGGCTTACGTTATTAAACCGTACAAAGTAGAGAAATATAAAAAAGGAAGAAGTGGTGGTGTAGAAACTCAACAACATTGTCTTGTTTTTGTGTGTGACTGATGCAGATTCTGTGTTTGCCGGAGCCATGCCCACCATGGCCAGCGTGAAGCTCTCCACAGGGCGGCCCATCGTCAACCACCCCCACTACGAAGATGCTGGTCTGAGGTCAGTGAAACTCACAGCAGCCCAACTGCTGAATCGGCCTCAGTAAATTCTAAAAGTATAATCCAATATGGCCCACAAATGAAACCTGTGCTTGTCTTATATTGTACTTCTTAAATTTAAAAATATATTGCACAGTAGTATTCATGTGTTAATAAGCCCATTTTTCTAATAAATTCAGTCAATTAAAGTTGGAAACATTTTCTAACACATCTTAGTTGATTAAAAAAAGGCCCAATGACTTATTTACCTAACAAGCTTGAATTACACCCTTCATATTTCCCCTTATTATAAGCAAACTGAGGGATGAGCTGCCAACAAAATAAATGAAACCCTAAGGAGAGCTGTGATGTAGGCTGTTTTTTTCTTAAGGCATTTTCAAGTATCAAGCATAATTGACCTACATTTGTCCTGTTTTAACTGCTATTACATTAACACAAAAACCATTAATCATCACCAAATTTCATTTAACACCCTTTCAAACTGTAAATATTGTATCGGACTACTGGTATACATGAAAAACTGCAGTAAATATTCAAAGAATATACACTGAACATGTATTGCGTGTGCCAGGTGTGATCCATGTGGGGGGATGGGCACATAAGAGCGGGAAATGTGTCAAATTGTCCTGTGTGTGTTTGTGTGTGCCAGGTGTGATTCACATGGGGGGATGGGCACATAAGGGGGGAACACATTTAGATACAAAGTGTGTGTGTGTGTGTGTGTGTGTGTGTGTGTGTGTGTGTGTGTGTGTGTGTGTGTGTGTGTGTGTGTGTGTGTGTGTGTGTGTGTGTGTGTGTGTGTGTGTGTGTGTGTGTGTGTGGGTGTTTGTGGGTGTGTGTGGGTGTTTGTGCATGATGGGCCGTACAGGCCGTAAATTCGTACTGGTCCCCTCACGCACATACATTCTCCTTTTACATACATATATTTTCACTCTTACACACATACATTCTCCTTTTACATACATATATTTTCACTCTTACACACATACATTCTCCTTTTACATACATACATTTTCACTCTCACACACTTATTTACACTCACACATTCATACATTCTGCTCTCATATTATCATATTTCAATGCACACATTCATATATTCACTCACATATTTATATATTTTTCACTCACACATTTATACATTTTGCTCTCGTGCACATTCATTCAATGTTTACATTTAATATTATAAATAATATATGCATGTCTGAAGACAATATATGTATGCAAGAGAAGAATGCATGTATGTGTGAGAGAAAGTATAGTGGAAACGGAAGGAGTATGGTTGAAACGGAAGGCAGGTCATTATCGCGCTGTGATTGGCTCAGAAGGTCGAGCGGGGGTGATTTCAAAACAAAAAGCACTCGTTTGCTTGGAACGGTGATATTATAAACAAGGGGAAACGAGGGGAATTTAGCGATCACAAAGAAAACGGCCAAGACACACATTGAGCCCAGAAAATAAATGTTATTAAAGGGCTGTAAATATAATAAGCCTGTGTCTAAAATGGACAACATTGTTAGGAGATTTAAACTATACAGCGATTCTGCACTGGGGTCAACTCAGCCGTCTCTCAATTTTTTTTTTCAAATCAGCAGCTCTTCATTTTTTTCCCTGCTATATTTGATGATCGATACAAATATTTGTTACCACAAGTTCTTAATAAAACTGAAATTGTTGGACTAGTTTGACTGCTACTAACAATACATTGAAGTACTTTTACTGTGTATTTTTTGAGAAATCATCTGTCAAAGTCCCCTCCTGAGAACAAAATCAAGCCACTTCTGCTAAGTTTGATGAGGGAATTCTTTTTTGTTGCCATTACTGTAGTTCTTCGTGAGATTAGCCGCGTTCACACCGGAGTACTTTTCCCCGTACTTTTCGCATTTAGTTCCGTTAGTACCCCTTATGTCGCGTTCACACCAAAAATAATACTTAGTGCCGGGAACTTTTACCCCCATTTTTAGTGCCTGCTGAGAGATGGTACTTTCCTGGGGGAAAAAATTGCCCCAGTTCTGATTGGCTGGGCGAATTGCAAACCACGCCCCGTAAAACTCTGAAATGTTTTGTAGAGCCGCCATTTTTATTATCCTCGCATTAGCAGTATTAGCATTAGCATTCACCCAGCGCACAAATGCAGAGAGACTAACTTATGGCAACACAAAATAAAACATGGGAACGGTGGAGATGAGGAGGTGTCGGCATTCTGGCGATTTACTCGGAAGGCTTCAGTAGAAGCTGCTGGGAGTCCCAGCAGCTTCTACTGAAGCCAGTCCCCAACTCCGGGGACTTCCGGCCGGGGACTTCGGGTGGCAGTATACACCATGAAGTAGTTTGCGGCCTGCCAGTAGACCCAAAGCAGAAGAAGACGAAGTGACGTCAGCGGCTCATTTGAGTAATCTTCCCTCAGGGAACTTATTCCGGTGTGAACGTGATCTGTACTAAGTGCCCTGGGGTAATAAGTGCCGGGGCACTAAGTGCTGGGGCACTAAGTGCCGGCACTAAGTACGGCAAAGTACTTGCTGTGAACGTGGCTATTGATCCTGTTGGACTCAGTACTAGTGAAACTACCCCCACAAGTACTAGTACTTTTACTGTGTACTTACTTTATAAACTCTGAATCTTGTGGTGCTTGAAGAAATACAGACTGACCGCTAGCTGAAAGCCAACTGACAGCTAGCTGACAGCCAACTGACAGCCAGTTGACAGCCAACTGACAGCCAACTGAGAGCCAACTGAAAGCCAACTGACAGCCAACTGACAGCCAACTGACAGCTAGTTGACAGCCAACTGACAGCCAACTGAAAGCTAGCTGACAGCCAACTGACAGCCAACTGACAGCCAACTGACAGCTAACCGACAGCCACCTACAGGTAGCTGACAGCCAACCGACTGAAAGAGTACGTCCTTTAAAAGGTTATCTTTCTTTCTTATTGTATTTTTTGCCAAAGGAAGTCTTGATATTAATGCTTTCTACAGAAAAACACATACACGGCTCAGGCATACAGAGGAAACTGGTCTTTGTTTGGGCCTCCAGACATACATTAGTTGTTTGAACTTTAATATTGTCTGTGGCCCTTCAGTTATCAAGATACCACTCTTACAGACATGATGGGGATTGATCTTCTGATCTAACTTTGGGCAAGAAAGCTTATAGATGTCTTTTATAATATTTGTCTGTATTTTAAAAAATGTAAAAACTTGCCTTCAGAACCATTGCTTTCACTGGTCTCAAATGATTGATAGAAGAAAAAAAAATCTGTTATTTTCTTATGACATAAGACAAGCACATTACCAGAAGGTGTACAAGTCCAGTGTAAAAGTAAAAGTCAAGGCAGACTTTTGTTGCAATCTCCACCAGTAAATCTTGACGTCATGCAAACAATGACATTTAAGATCCACATTTTATTTTGGATGCTTTGTCTACACATTATAGCATATTTGCGAATCCAGTGCAGAGCCAAACACCTCCACCTCACAGAGGGTCAGGTACTCCTTTCTTCCAGGGATACCTATGTAAACATAGTGGCCGTCCATCCCGTCGGCAACCTCGAACTCAGCAGTTTCACCTGCCGGGATGCTGGTGATTACAGCAAACCTGGTAGAAGAAATCACTACATTAACCTCAGGAAGGGTTTATTGAAGTAATAGGCTTTTCATTTTCACCACGGCTTTGAGTTCAATATACATATTACATACATTTACATACACTGAAAGCATCATTAGGTTTCTACTAGGGCTGTCAGTCGATTAAAATATTTAATCGCGATTAATCGCATGATTGTCCATAGTTAATCGCGATTAATCGCAAATTAATCGCACATATTTTATCTGTTCTAAATGTACCTTAGAGGGATATTTTTCAAGTTTTTAATACTCTTATCAACATATGAGTGGACAAATATGCTTTATATGTTTGTTTATTATCATTTGAACAATGACAAATATCCTCATGAATATTAAACACAACAACCTCTGAACATTACAAATATTCGCCTCAATTCAACCTGGAACCTCTCTCATACAATAATACAATACAAGTGTGTGTGTGTGTGTGTGTGTGTGTGTGTGTGTGTGTGTGTGTGTGTGTGTGTGTGTGTGTGTGTGTGTGTGTGTGTGTGTGTGTGTGTGTGTGTGTGTGTGTGTGTGTGTGTGTGTGTGTGTGTGTGTGTGTGTGTGTGTGTGTGGAGAGACACTGTGATGGATCATTGGAGCTATGTGCAGCTCAAGGCATATATGCTTGAACGGGAGCCTGGACGCTGCAACCATGTTGCGCGCACTATCCGTGCTGAGTGTGCTGACTTTTCGTACAATGTCCCACTGTCTGGCTACCTGCATAAAGTCAAGTGCTCGGCGCAGTTGTCGGCGAAATGTCGCTCCTCTGTTTTCATTGAAACAGCTCCTTATATCCATTAGCGCAGCTAGCTAGCACCAGATGCTAACAACAACAATAACACGTAAGGTGTGCCTCGCTCGCCCCACACATACACACACCCTCCCGGTCCTCCCGATGGCCAGTCCGGGCTTGCCGGTGAGCGTGGTGTGTGGTCTGCCACAAGCGGGCGGCAGGAGCAGGGCTGTCAGCATCAGCTTGTAGATGGTATTTTAAACTCGATGCGCTCTGAAACTACGGGGCGGGGCGGCCGAAGACAACAAATACACATGCGTTAATCGCGTTAAAATAATTAGTGGCGTTCATTTTTTTTTGCGTTAACGCATTATTAACGCGTTAACTTGACAGCCCTAGTTTCTACCCTTTACTTGGTTAGAATGTTGGATGTAGATCTTTAATTAGGGCTTGATAATGAACAATATTTATATTTCAGTAATGTTTAAATAAATGTTTTCAAATCATGTCACAGAATCACAATTGACGACCCTCGATCAGGCCTTTAATTTGGCGATCTTGGTATTTGTCCATTTCTGTGATCAGATCAGAACACATTGCAGGAATCATTCATAAATGAAGGGTATTCCCGCTCCAATCCGTTTTCTTGGCAATGTAAGGATTTTTAATCCAAAATGTAGCACCAGGGTAAACTTGAGAGAGAAAAACTGAATAACGTGTTCCAACAAAATACCAATTTAGTGACTTTTTAATATTAGTATTGTAATAGGACAGGCTGTAAATTACCTGGGATTGTCAGCACCATTGTTTCCAAGAGAATCTCCAATGCGGATCTCGGCTCCATTGATTCGTGCGGGGTATTCAAATCGGTTGGTTATCTTAACAGAAAACACTTTGTGTGTTTTGAGCAGAGTCAGCCTCCACCAGGGGTCCAATTCATTGGCTGTGACACTGCAGGACACCTGGTTCACACTATAATTGAACTTGGAGTGCCGACTCCCATCAATGGCATAATTTGCAATGTAATACCAAAACAGTGATGACTGTGTGGCTTTTCCTTGAAGGGCCAGGTTCTCTTCTGCAACAAAAAAACAAAACAAAGATTTAGGTTAAATCAATAACATGTATGACTCCTGATGCAGATTGTTTTTTATTATACTGTTTCACCATGACTCTCAAAAGATTTGATTTAATTTGCCGTCAGGATGAAGGACATAAAAGGGATAACCCCACCATATATTAACAAATAATTAACATATAGTTATTTGTTATTGGAAAAGAGGAAATAAATAAGACCTGTTGTAGTAATCATAAGTGACATGAAAGGCTGGTACATCCTTGCTCTTTTTCCTTTTAATGGGACCATATTTTACAACTTGAACATCATGCTGGATTGAAGAAGACTTGAAACAAACAATTGAGATCATAAACTAATGGGTACACTCTTTCCAGCAGTAATACATCAAGTGAGTTGCAGGACAATTTTTCATAGACTTCGACACAATCAGACTTTTAGAAAGAATGCAGGTTTAAGGCACTTCTGCATTGAGTTAACTTTTCAGCCACTTGGCTTATATGACAGTTCCTTGTTTAGATGGATATCACACATTATTTATGTAAGATCCCAAACCCTCACCAGTTGGGGCACGGTACCCGTAGACTTCCACCTCACAGAGGGTAAGGAACTTTCCTTCACCCGGTATATGCACACTCACATAGCGTCCCTCCACACGATCAGGGAAATTCATAGTGTAAAATGCCATTATTGTAGAAATTGTACCAACCCTAAAAGAAAGAGAACAAAAGTGAGAAAGAAAGAAGAACATGTTATACCCCTGAGGCTTCAACAGTTAGATAAAAGGTAACTGGTAATTTCATTATAGACTTCTATACAATCTGACTCCTTTTTGCAATCAGATATTAAAGACGATGCAAGTTTAACGCACTTAAGCATTGCCTATATTTATTATTATTATAACTTGAGTATTTCCATTTAATTCTACTTTCTACTCCTATTCCTCTACATTTCAAGACGGAAATAATGTAATTTTATTCCAGTACATTCATTTAACAGCTTTAGCTACTTTGAACTAAATGTATCTCTAACAATTAAACTAGGGGACTAACTCTTTAAGTCACAAAACAGTCAAATCATATAAATACAATTAAACTTGCAAAATGCTTCGTATTGCATGCATATATCTAGAAATGTCACATACATATGTACATTTAATCATTAAGTACATTTTGCTGATACTACTTTTGTACTTTTACTTAAGAAACATTTTTTGAATGCAGGAATTTTCCTTGTAATAAAATATTTTGAAACTAGGGTATCTGTACTTTTACTCGAGTAAAGCATTTTAATACACCTCTGTCTACTGGTCGTGAGCAATTAACAGGGGAGAGGAGAAAATAAACAAAATGCTCAGTTACACAAAACAAATGAATAAAATGTGTGCAGGAAATGTCTTACACTGGGTTTGATGAACCATCGTTGTCTAAAGAGTTGCCGATGTGGACCTGTGCCCCCTGAAGCCTTTCTGGATAGCTGTCTCCTCTGTTGGAGATGATGATGGAGGTGACGATGTAGGGCTCCCGCAGGTCCACTCTCCACCAGGGGTCTCTTTCTGTATCAGTGTGGCTGCACGATCCAGACAAGAACTTATTGTCTCGGTTTCCATCAATAGCGTTGCTGGCAAATCCAAATTGATAACGGCCTGCCTGGGTCGCTTTTCCGCGCAACGCCACGTTTTCTAGAAAAGAGACAGTTGAATATAAAATTATAATACACAGATTGGAAAATGGTTTAAGCTACATTAGTGTTCCAACTGATAACTGGTCCTGAATATTCAACACACAACAACTAAAGAAAACAGAAAATAGAAAAAACACAAATTACAAACAGAGAAATGCTGCACGTTTCTCTGAAAGTAAATGATGACTTGATATTAGATCTGTGAACGGTGATCATTACAAACTATTCCATTGAGTTGGGTTACGCTTTGTTGCCTCAGCATGCACGTGTTGCCAAAATATGTTTCTCAGTGTTTTAATGTCTATGCAGTGTTTTATTTCCAAACACTGAACACGTGCTGATGAATTGGAGATTGAATGTGTTTTCTGTATTGGTTTGTGTCGCTTCGCTGGGATTTCTTACAATGATGTGTTTACAGTTACATTTAAACAGTATTACCACAATAACTATTATTGGAGCAGCAAAACATACAGTATATATCTGAGTGGCAGTGAGATTACAATATTTTATGCATTACATAACTGTTTTCTTTTGGAGCTAAACCTATAATCTAGACCAGTGGTTCCCAACCAGGGGTTGTCAAAGTTTACGAAAGATAAGCAAGGTCGCGTGTCTCTTTAAAAGCTCTAGTCTTAACAAAAGATGTTGAAACTGCTAGAATAAGTGTAAAGGTTTAAATGCATTTGTATTAAGGGTGACTTATCAACTAAGGAGCAGTTTGGTTAAATACGATTAGAAAAAGATTTTAAAAGAAAAAATGTAGACGAATCATCACAGATGAGTGAGGGGGCTCTTAGAGAATGGAGACCAGCTCAAGGGGTAAACGAGACAAAAAAGGTTGGGAACCACTGATCTAGACAATTGAACTTAATTTGTATAAACCTGCTTTTCTTGCTAACGGACAGCCTTACATTCACTTCCCTGTTATGTTTTATAGTGAAAACGTCATATATAAACGATTCATACTCACGATAAGTGGAGGCAGAGCACGTCTCCATGAGGAGCATGAGAAGGAAGACACTGAGTTTCATCATTCTGGATGAGACCTAGGATAGTCAATATATTTAACATAAAACACATTTCTTTGTTATTTCTGAAAGGCATCATTTAAGAAATGAAAATCAGATCTAAGTGTATTGAAATAGTTAGATTTCAACATTAAGACCATGATCCCGCCCCTTATGTCTTTGACCAATGGGAAGTAAAGGTTCAAGTTGAACATATTTAATACAACTATTAATAAAATCAAAGCTGCAATTTGAATGTATACTTTATGAAGTCCTTTCACGAAGAAGAACAAATACTATTATTTTAAAGAATCAACAATGGGGAAGAGCTTGGTTAAATCCTTGACTTTGATTGGATATTCCTTCTCTGAGAATACATGATTTTTCATAACCTGTCTGTAAGATACAAAACATCCCTGACACATATTTATGTATAAAAGACATCAGAAAGTGCATTTTGCATGAAAGGTCCCCTTTAAAAGGAGGATAGTGCAACACACAATCAGGTGACAGGTCAAAATGCATCAGAGTGCATTGAGAAAGTGCAGCAGAGAGCAGGAGTTTGCTTCCTAAAAGGCTCAATTGAACAAATATGTTTTGAGTTTTTTTTTCAAAGACTTCCACTGAGCAGGCATCCCTGATGTCTCCAGGTATTTTTGCGGCTGTTTCTGGGAACCTCTAACAAACCAGCAGCAGAGGAACGCAGTGTTCTTGACGGCTTGTGGCTGACAAGGGAGTTAGCAACATAGCTTGGTCCTTGCCCATTAGGGCCTTATATGTCAGGAGGAGGACCTTAAAATCAATACTAAAGTAAACAGGAAGCCAGTAAAGAGCTTCTAAAACTGGACTAATGTGTTCTCTCTTCTTAGTTCTGGTTATCCGCAGAGCTGCAGAGTTTTGGATGAGCTGAAGTCTGTCAGTCGTTTTTTATGGGAGGTCACTGAAAAGTGCATTACAGTAGTCTATCCAGTTTGAGACGAAGGCAAGTATAAGCTTCTCAACATCTTTTTGATTTATGAATGTTTCAATTCTTTAGCAATGTTTCTAAGGTGAAAGAAATATGTTTTTGTTACATTGCTAATGTGAGAGCTGAAGCTCAGATCTGAATCTAATACGACACCAAGACTTGTGACCTCCGGTTTGATCCTACAGTAGGAGTAAATCTCCCCATGTTATTAACCAGAATTTCTGTTTTTTCTTTTACTAATTGTTTAATACATTTTTGGGTGTAAACGTTTTTCACAGTTCGAGCTTTTCCAATTTGAATTCTTTTTGGATTTTGAGTTTTTTTTTTATATATCATACTTAAAAACGTTTACTTCAGTACCATTCTCAATGCAGTATTTTCATTGCAATGCAGTATTTTCCTTGCAGTATTAGTACTTTTACCTAAGTAAAGGAGCCGAATACTTCTTCTACCACTGCAAACATTAATATTAATACAAAATGTTTGAAACATACAAGATTTTAAAATAAAATATTAGGAATGAGAATTGAAATGCTTACCCTGATTCCCAGTGAGAATAGAGGTTTTGTCCCAACAAAATAACTCTGAGCCGAAGTTACTTGATCTCAGAACTTCAAGAAGTGTCTGTAGATAATAACCCTTAAAGCTGAGCTATTTGTATGATATCTTCCCCCAATCAATATTCATGATCAGCATCCAATCACTTAATACCATGTAGTATACTCCCATGCACATGAACCCAGTTCCAGTCAGCAGATCAAGGTTCCAGTAGTTATCTAAGCACACACTGATGAAACATTCCCGTAAATTCAGGTTTGCGCAACCATTGCTTTAATCACAGAGCGATAACTGCACTGATCCAACAGTTTCATTTTACTAGGATTTAGTTGATAACATTGACATATATATATATTATATATTATATATATATTGTGTCATAGCTACAAATGCAAGATAAACACATGTTTATATGATGCCGTGTGCAGAGGTGGGAAAAGTACTCGGATCTTCTACTTAAGTAAAAGTAGACGTACCAGAGTGTAGGAAAACTCTGTTACAGTAAAAGTCCTGCATGCAAACATATTAACCAAAGTATTATCATCAAAATATACTTAAAGTAGCGACAGTAAAAGTAGTCATTGTGCAGATTGGTCCATTTCAGAATAATATATATGATATGTTTTATAATGATTGATCATTAAAGTGTTATCAAAGCTGGTAAAGGTGCAGCTAGTTTGAATGACTTTGTATACTGCAGGGTAGCTTGTGAATTTACTCCAGGTGGAACTAAAGTCTGATTTAACACTTGATTATATTTCACATCATTAATCCAAATCTGTAAAATAACTAAAGGCATTACATAAATGTAAAAAAATATTTTGATCCAGACCAATAACGATAGACAGACCAATATAACGTTCTAATGATTTTATTGTATATCAGTATTGATAACATAGAATTATGTCCTGGACCAGGTGGTGACCCAAAACAGTCAAATATGTAAGCAAGTAGAGCTCTAAACATTCTCAAATGAAATCAATGTCATTCTAGGAGATGATTTTGGAAAGAAGTGATTTTTTGTTTTCTTTTGCATTGTGAACTTCTCCAGTTCTTCACTTAATCCAGACGAGAGCCGTACAGTGCACCTCCACCTCACACAGACTCAGCAACTCCTTCCGTCCTGGGATGACTATGTTGACGAAGCGGCCGTCCATCCCCTTACAATCAAACGCACCGGCACCACCTGCAGGGATACTTGTGATCACAGCACACCTGGCAGAAGAAGCAGAAATGACTTTATTGAGTTCAATTAAGGTTGGTTTTGTTGCTTTAACAAAGTGCACTGTCGGCCACATTGGGGCAGCAGAACAAACATTGCAAATACAGGACTTTGAAATGATCACCTCACAAGGTTGTTATGGCAAACATGCAAGCAAACATTTGTCTTTTTCATCATCCTTTGGCCACCTGATGAACTCTGTACTGGTCTCCGCGTGATGGAAATATCTTGCTCTCAGCTGCTCAACGCTCCACTGTGTTCACTGGCTAGTTATTAAGTGTGTGTGTCTGTAGTTTGGTGGTGAGCAGCTAGCGTACACTCTGGTATATCTGAGGTTTTTCTTTGGTAAGCAGCCGAAAGCAACGCTATGATAGCAATAATATTAAACCAAAAATTGAAGTTACACATAAACCAAAAGCAATATACCAAAAGAAGCGTAAAAAGCTGAATGAAACAGTATATATAGATATACACTCAACACAAAGACAGCTGAGACTGATGAAAATGGCAGTTGTGTTGAGGGGTTTGACAATTTGTGAGGACACATCAAACTATGACCCTACACTACAGTTGCATTAAACCCTGGTGTGTAAGATTAAACAGTAAAAAATGCAATGACAACAACATGTTGAGTTTCACATGGGACACAAATCGCAGTCTCTTGGGTAAAAGTCCTGTGTTGTTTTTTCCACCCTTATTCTGCGTCACCACCAGCACTTGCTCTGAGCGTCTAATTGGCGCAGTTCATTGAAAACCCAATGTGTCCCCTACTAAAGGGTGCCTCGAGCATTGGTAGAGGACATGACGAAGCCTTGGTATTTCATATCTTATGAGACTGGGCTGGAGCAAATTTCACCAAAATACATCTAGGAGTAGTTAAAGTGGACCGATCATGCTATATTATAATAATATAGTGTAGGACCATACCTATATAAGGCATATTTATACATTTTTTTTCTCAAAATACCAAACAGATCATGCATTTTAGCCATGCCTCATTTTGCTCAATTTGCACTTTTTTAGCCCTGTTTTTGCAAGGGCTTTCTGAGAGCCAACAGCTTAATATGAAGTGTCTTATAGTTTCATGCTGACATCAGAAAATGTTGGAATTAAATCAACAACAATTTCAAATGCATTCACACATTTAAAATCATGAAAGAACGTTTTTTGTTAATGAAATAATACTAAAACATGTCTAATATGTCTCTTTTTTCTGTCTCTTCCAGGCGCACATCAGTGGACTGATATAGTCTACGTTCACGAGCTACAAAGACTTCCACACTCTGATGTACACGTGTGCTGCAGAGTTTGACTTCATGGAGTTAGAGGTAAAGTTTGTTTTTACCAAAATCTGGCCCTCCACAAGATTAACAAATAATCCTCCTTGTGACTTTGTGTGCTAAAGTGTTCTCTGAGATAAATCTGAGGTGGATTGGTTTATTAACATTTATTTGTATCAGAATAAACCTGCTATTTTATATCAACGAGTCTGATATGTTCCAGCAGGCATCAGAGCACAGGGAACCAGATCTGTGCTTTGAATTGCAAAGGAAATAGAAACCTGGCAGCTCATTTTGATTTCAACTCTCTTACAAACTGGACCCTGCTCATGTTGTGTTTGCATGTTGTGACTGTGCAGTGTACATTCAAGATTTTGAGATGTCTTAACTTACGGTGTCTCTCCGTCCCTCAGACCCCTTTAAAATACCTTAAAACTTTGCTGCTGCCCATCGACATGCTGGTGGTCGCTGTCATCGCCTGGAGTGTAAGTGTAATGAGAATTGAAATGCTTAAGTTGCAATCATTTGGTCCTTGATCAATTGTGCTAATTCTCAGGTTCATATTTGTATTTAGTGTCTCTACTGTGACATGTCTCCATGCTTTAATTTTCAGAAAGCTCTTTATTTTTCTCATACTGCCTGTGCTGCAGCACCTCTTTTCACCCTCTGTCTGAAACCAGAGCCCAGTATGCTCTGATTGGAGTTTTATTTGTGCACTTTTCATACACAAGGTGCAGTTTAAAGCCTTTTTTGCACCAACAAAAAAATAAAAAAGTTTGGACACCCCTGATTTAACCCTCCTATTGTCTTCGTTTCCCCCCTTACTTTGGTGTTCGCGGTCAAATTTGACCGGTCCTGTTTTAGCTGCTATTACATTAACACAAAAAACATTAATCATCACCAGATTTAATTTAACACCCTTTCAAACTGTATATATTGTATCAGACTACTGGTATACATGAAAAACTGCAGTAAATATACAAAGAATAGACACTGAACATGTATTGCGTGTGCCGGGTGTGATCCATGTGGGGGGATGGGCACATAAGAGCGGGAAATGTGTCAAATTGTTCCGTGTGTTTGTGTGTGAGGATGGGCACATAAGGGGGGGGGACACATCTAGAGTATGTGTGTGTGTGTGGGTGTTTGTGTGTGTGTTTTATCTGATACGGATGGTTACTAATTCCTTTTCTTTATGGCGGTCATTTTTGACCGGGAACACCATGGGTGTTACAAAGTTGACTAAATCATCCAAAATTCAATGAAAGTGGTAATCAGCAATTTTATATGTTCAAATGTCTACTTTGAAGGATATCATAAAGCCTTAATGCAATCGAATGTAAAACAAAAAAGTTATGATTGATGAAAGTAGTAAATCGGTCAGATTTGACCCGAAGACAACAGGAGGGTTAAACGATGAAGGAAAAAACACTTTCAACCAAAGGATACTAAAGATACACCACATTGCTACAAATCTTTTGTTAAACGTTTTGTATTCACTATTATTATTTTTGCTATTTTTTAAATAAACAGATGATGACTTAATTTGATGCAAATTGATCTACTGACCATTCAGAAATTAATACAGTAATTTAATATATATATTATTCAGAAATGGGCCAATACGCTTACAGTAAATAGTCATTTTACTTTTGCACCTTTACTGAAGCACGATTTTAAATGCAGCACTTTGACTGGTAACAAAGTGACTTCACAATTGACTTACACCTCTGTACTGCTTTACTTTGCATGTAGTTGTTCTCCAACTTGTGCACCGTATCAATGTTTAATTGTGCTCCTCGCAGGGAGAGAACCAAGCTGGTGTACTCCATGTACAGCCGCATGTCTGCAGACACAGTGAAGGGGAACCTGATGACGCTGGGGGTGGACTTCTTCGTCCTGGAGGATTCCTGGTGCACCCGGAGAACAGGTACCTCCACACCACCAGAGCCTTCTCACAGGAAGGGGGGACTTTTCAACCTGTTTTCTGTCACATTTTATTTTATAATATGATAACACTGTATTGCAAGATAAAGTCTGGAATCTTTCCTGCAACATCAACAAGGAATAATATTTAGTGTTCAGACACTCAACAACCATTACAATCACAGAAGATAATATTTCAGAATCAGAAATAGGTTTAATACCAGGTAGGTTTACACGTATGAGGAATTTGACTTGGTGTCGTGGTGCATAAAAACAAGAATTAAAAACACAGGAAGAGAACTAGAAAAATAATAAAAAATATATAGTAAAATATAATATAACAGTATTTACATTGCATTCGATATGGGGTTAAACTCTGTATTTTATTTTATTTTGCACTAAAGAGGAAATATTATGCTAACTTTCAGGTTCATAGTTGTATTGTGTGCATCTAATGTGGCAGAAACACCTATATATCACACTACAGAAGAGGGGAAACCCCTACAAGCACAATAGGGCCTCTTTAACTGGTGCTGAAAAGAGTGTTTCTGTATGGTTAAATCATGGCACCCTCTGTTCTGTATTTGATGGTAACCACTCATGTGTGCATTTTAGGACATGGTTATGTATGTATATTATATATAATAATTAAAAATATCTAAATTGACTTGAATTGCAGGACAAATAGTGTGTAATTCTCATTAACTTTGTCTTCCTTTCTCTTCGCTCAGGCCCGGGTGCAGCATGCCAGAGATCTGGGACATTGAGGATTCCCAAAACATTGGTAAAGTTCCCCTTTGCACCCACATGTCCAGAAGCTCACGACCCCACTTCACCACAGTCTTCTCCAACGACATCTACAAAGTTCTCAAAGTCTCCAAAGATCTCAGATAACACCATGAGATGGACTAGTTCAGGACCTGTTACTATTTCACTAGGTTTTGATCAGTCACTGCCATTGCTGCTTTTTAATCGAAGCCCAACAGCCCCCCCTCTTTGCGGTACTCTGATTCACTGAGCGGTTGGACATTGCGTCCTGACTTCTCAGTATCTGTGGACTGTTGCCAACCATCTTTACTGCTGCATTGTTTTCATCCAGCAATGTTTCCATTGCGCCAAAAGGTTTCCTAGCTTTTTATTGTTCCCTTGGTTCTGTCATATAGAATCTTTACTTTCGGAAACGGTGTTTTCAAAGACATGCTGTTCATACATCAGTATTATTTCTTAAAGGTGGGGTAGGTAATTTTGGAGAAACCAGCTCGAGTGCGCGACAACCGGAAAAAATCTGCCACTTCCTTACAGAGCCCCTCCTCCAACACACACAAACGCGCACATGACCAATGAGGGCACGAGATAAGTTTGTGCACAGATGGAAGGCTGACAGGCAGGTAGGCCATCCAGTTATTTTAGCCGGGCCGGCTAAAATGATTGGTCGTGCTTTTTACAGTACTACGGCTTCCTCAGATGACATTTCTTTATGGATTTTTTGTCAAAGCACTTAAGATATTCATTGCTATCGGGATGTTAAGAGCATTCTATGGAATATAACAAAAAGTGTATCTCGAGCCGGTTTCTCAAACTTACCTACCCCACCTTTAATGTTAGGAATTTATTTTCTTTGACTTTGGCTTAAGAAGTACATTTTGTCTGGCGGGCCCAATCTTTGATGTCCACATACTGTACTGTGAAGCAATACCCTTTGCAAACTAGACAAAATCTGACTTCTTCTATTGTTCTGCACAGTGTTGATCTGGGGAAAGATTCTTCTGTAGTACGCTATTTTCATAATTTATTTTTGTGTAAGTATTTTTATGCAAAAGTTGTTGAAATGTTTCTTTAGAGGCCAGCAGTGTTTAAAGAGTATTTGGAAAATGATGTTCCTACTGTATGTTTGGAAGCTTTTAAATACAATTTTAACTGCATATCATTCAGCTTTCAACAGGCAAACTCTCATTCCTAATCCAGTTATAAAAGGACAGAAAGAGTTGTGTTTTTTATGGCAAAACAAGTAGACTGCCTCTAACTGTGCCCTGTCAGAACTTTTTTGTAAATACCCAAACGTTTTGTCAAATACAACTGTATGGCCTTAACAAGGTTCTCTTTCTTTCTTATTGTATTTCTTTGCCAAAGGAAGTCTTGTTATTAAAGCTGTGTATTTGGGTTGCTGTAACGATTAGTGATCAAAAGCTATCAGTTAGTAGGTTTTGTAAAAGTCAACTCAACCTTTTTGTAGCAGTAGATTTCATGTAAATGGTAGCAGTCGTTGGTTCCTTCTTCGTGGCACATTAATGACCATTCAATATTTAATGAAATAGGTTTTATTGCTTTCTTCCCGAGATTTACTAATGCCCTCACTTAGGTATCCCTCTCCCAGCTATGTGATAGCTAGCTTACAGCTAGCTGAAAGCCAACTGACAGCCAACTGACCGCTAGCTGACAGCCAACTGACAGCCAACTGACAGCTAAATTCCACTGTAAAAAAAAAAGATTCATTCAATTGCAGCCTTTCCCCATGAGAGGGCACTTTCTACAGAAAAACACATAAACGGCTCAGGCATACAGAGGAAACTGGTCTTTGTTTGGGCCTCCAGACATACATTAGTTGCTTGAACTTTAATATTGTCTGTGGCCCTTCAGTTATCAAGATACCACTCTTACAGACATGATGGGGATTGATCTTCTGATCTAACTTTGGGTAAGAAAGCTTTCAGATGTCTTTCACAATATTTTGTCTGTATTTAAAAAAATTAAAAACTTGCCTTCAGAACCATTGCTTTCACTGGTCTTAAATGATTGATAGAAAAAAAGATATCAGTTATTTTCTTATGACATAAGACAAGCACATTCCCAAAAGGTGTACAAGTCCCGTAAAAGCAAAAGTCAAGGCAGACTTTTGTTGCAATCTCCAACAGTAAATCTTGACTTCATGCAAACAATGACATTTTAGATGCAAATTTTATTTTGGATGCTTTGTGTACACATTACAGCATCTTTGCAAATCCATTACATTGAATGCTAATCCAGTGCAGAGCCAAACACCTCCACCTCACAGAGGGTCAGGCACTCCTGTCTTCCAGTGATACCTATGTAAACATAGCGGCCGTCCATCCCGCTGGGAACCTGGAACTGAGCAGTTTCACCTGCCGGGATGTTGGTGATTACAGCAAACCTGGTAGAAGACATCACTACATTAACCTCAGGAAGGGTTTATTGAAGTAATAGGCTTTTCATTTTAAGTTCAACATGCACTGAAAGCGTCATTAGGTTTCTACGCTTTACTTGGTTAGAATGTTGGTTGCAGATCTTTTAATTAGGGTAATGAACAATATTGATATTTCAGTAATGTTTAAATAAACGTTTTCAAATCATGTCACAGAATCACAATTGACGACCCTCGATCAGGCCTTTAATTTGGCGACCTTGGTATTTGTCCATTTCTGTGATCAGATCAGAACACATTGCAGGAATCATTCATAAATGAAGGGTATTCCCGCTCCAATCCGTTTTCTTGGCAATGTAAGGAGTTTTAATCCAAAATGTAGCACCAGGGTAAACTTGAGAGAGAAAAACTGAATAATTGTTCCTCAAACGTGTTCCAACAAAATACCAATTCAGTGACTTTTTAATATTAGTATTATAATAGGACAGGCTTTAAGTTACCTGGGATTGTCAGCACCATTGTTTACAAGAGAATCTCCAATGCGGATCTCGGCTCCATTGAGTCGGTCAGGGTATTCATATCGGTTGGTTATCTTAACAGAAAACACTTTGTGTGTTTTGAGCAGAGTCAGCCTCCACCAAGGGTTCAATTCCTCGGCTGTGCAACTGCACGAACCCTCAGCCCACTTGGAGGCCCAACCCCCATCAATGGCATTATTTGCATTGTAAAACTCAAACACTGATGACTGTGTGGCTTTTCCTTGAAGGGCCAGGTTCTCTTCTGCAACAAAAAAACAAAGATTTAGGTTAAATCAATAACATGTATGACTCCTGATGCAGATTGTTTTTTATTATACTGTTTCACCATGACTCTCAAAAGATTTGATTTAATTTGCCGTCAGGATGAAGGACATAAAAGGGATAACCCCACCATATATTAACAAATAATTAACATATAGTTATTTGTTATTGGAAAAGAGGAAATAAATAAGACCTGTTTTAGTAATCATAAGTGACATGAAAGGCTGGTACATCCTTGCTCTTTTTCCTTTTAATGGGACCATATTTTACAACTTGAACATCATGCTGGATTGAAGAAGACTTGAAACAAACAATTGAGATCATAAACTAATGGGTACACTCTTTCCAGCAGTAATACATCAAGTGAGTTGCAGGACAATTTTTCATAGACTTCTACACAATCAGACTTTTAGGAAGAATGCAGGTTTAAGGCACTTCTGCATTGAGTTAACTTTTCAGCCACTTGGCTTATATGACAGTTCCTGGTTTAGATGGATATCACACATTATTTATGTAAGATCCCAAACCCTCACCAGTTGGGGCATGGTACCCATAGACTTCCACCTCACAAAGGCTAAGGACCTTTTTATCACCCGGTATACGCACAGTCACATAGCGTCCCTCCACACGATTAGTGAAAGTCAGAATGAACAATACGGCTGAACCTAATGTAGAAATTGTACCAGCCCTAAAAGAAAGGGAACAAAAGTTAGAAAGAAAGAAGAACAAGAATTACATTGTATACCTGCAGTCCTTAACCTGTTAAGCCCTGAGCCTGTTTTTCAGGTCTCAGGCTCGAAAATGACATTCCCAGAACAAATGACCATATCTTCCCTTCTAAAAGGGTTAAATTAATAATCTTTTTTCTCAAAGTAATGATAAACCTGTGAGTTGGATGTAGAAAAGTCAGAATACCTTTGAAACTACAAGAAGATTAGGAGGACTTTTACAAAAAAGTTATAGAAATGTTTGTCCAGAAGGATAGGCAAATGGACTTCATCTTCAAGTCAAGGTAAGACCGCAATTTTATTGAAATTTGGATCTTACTAAGAGAGAACAATTCAATATTTAAATGATAAAATTACATTTTTTGGGTATCCTTTTGTTGAACTGTCTGTTTAAAATTAATCGAAGCATCAGACAAAAAAAGCTTTTGAAAATAATATTATATTTTGGTTTAGGTCAAAATATAATATTTGTAAACCTGAAGAGTCAGTGCCAGTGCCTCACCAGCCATGAACCTCACTGCACGTCACTGCAGAAGCTTATATATAGACATCTAAGTTTTTTGTGCCCCACCACTTTTGTACATATAAAAACGTCACTGGCCATATCTATACAAAACATGTCTCTGAAGTGTTTTGCTCAAAATACCAAACAGATCACCCTTTTATAGCATGCCTCATACCCCTCTATTTCAGCCCTGTAACAAAAGTGCTGATTCTGGGTCTGGCCCTTTAAATGTAACCCGAGCTGCTGCTGGCCACGCCCCTTTAGAGCTGCTGCTGGCCACGCCTCTTTGGAGTTGCTGCTGCTAGCTCTGAGTGTTAACGATGCCTGCTAATGTAAACAAAGACCATATTACGTCCAAAAAACGTCGGGCATTGTTTCTGATAGCAACGTTTCTGATAGTGCCGTGGGTCCACATTTCCGATATTATGTCATATCGGACGCAAATCTGGATCAGCTCCGTTGTAACCCCGTTTTTAGAGATTTGCGTACGGAGGAAAAGAGAGAGGGTTTTGTTTTCTGACACTTTGTGAGTTCCCTGACACACTGGAGACACCTAAAGACATCAACAAGTGCATTTTGCATGATAGGAGACCTTTAAGTCACAAAACAGTCAAATCATTTAAATCAGTAAAATACTTCAATATATCTAGAAATGTCACATACGTACATTTAATCATAAACACACATCGAGGCAATATTTATACTTTTACTTTGTATACTTTAAGTACATTTTGCTCACCACCAGTAGGTAGAGTGCTTTACTTTTACTCAAGTAAAACATCTACCTACTGGTGGTGAGCAATTTACAGGGGAGAGGAGAAAATAAACAAAATGCTCAGACAGTTACACAAAACAAATGAATAAAATGTGTGCAGGAAAGGTCTTACACTGGGTTTGTTGCACCATTGTTGTCTAAAGAGTTGCCGATGTGGACCTGTGCCCCCTGAAGCCTAAATCCACAGCATGGGTCTCCTCTGTTGGAGATGATGACGGAGGTGACGATGTAGGGCTCCAGCAGGTCCACTCTCCACCAGGGGTTGCTTTCTGGATCAGTGTGGGTGCACGATCCAGAATCAAACTTATTGT